TTGTACATTGTGGAGAGGCAAATCCTCTCGTTGATGATGTGGTTAATATCTTCCAGTGTGAGCAGTTTCACAACTGGAACTTCTTCTTCCTTGACGGTGTGGACAGCTGGTCCTTTGCCCTTGTCAAGGGGTTTTCCTGTGAAATTACGAGCCATGTGCCCGTCTCCTCCACAATGATAACACTTGAAACTACCTCCTGGTTGTCCTTGAGGTTAGGGTCTACCTGCTGTGTTGGATGCATCAATGTCCATCGCATTTCCACCCTGTGACATGGTCTTGGGTACTACTGGTGCAGATGTTGCAGCAGCACCTTGCCATGGGCGGCGGGGTGTCCAGCCGATCCTTTTCTCATCGTCAAGTTCTTCCAGGTTTTGTCCAATGATGAGCATCTCCCTAATCAACCCTTCCAACATATCCTTCCTGTTGGGATGGACATGGGCCAACTGGTTCTTGACTTGTTGCTCCAATCCGAAGTGGAGTTTGCGCATCAACCCATAGTCAGAGAAGTAACAGTAGGCAATTTTCTGCCAGAAGAGGGAAATGTACTCCGCTATGGTGCAGTTTCCCTGGCAAAGAGCTTCTAACTCTCTTGCCACTTTCTCCTCCTTGTTGATGAGTCCCCACATGGCCCTCATATCTGTTTTGATTTGGTCATGAGACCTGGTTAAACCAGCTAGGGCCTGTGGTGTGATACTCTCTGCCCACTTCACTGCTGACCCTCGACAGAAAGAAATTAGGCATGAATTCTTCTGATGTTCTGTTGCTCTAGGGTAACCTGTGAAATAGATTTCAAGTTGGGTGAGGAAGGTGTCGACATCAATGGAGTTCTTGTCTCCTGTGAACTGTGTAGGTTTTGCCATTTTGAGATCAGAGCTCAAACTCCCAGAGGTGCCTGCTGAGGTCAACGTCGTAAACGAGGTTTGTAAATCCGTGATTGTCAGCTCTAGGTCCCTGACTCAGTGTATGAGGTTTGTGTTCTCATCATTCGCCATCACTAGACTGTCTTGCAGCTCAGTCATCACCTTCTCCAGATCGTTGAACTTTTTTTGTGTGTACTCTCTTTCTGCTATGATGATGGCGTTGATTGCAGCCGAAATACCCCGGTGGGTGATGATACTCTGTCCAGGCCCGGAGATGGCAGACGGTACAGAAGGGCCAGCGACAGGGGTGGTGGATAAATCAACAAATGACTGTTCTCCTTGTGTGCCATCCTTGCAATGGGGGTGGGGATTGGGCTGCAGCTCTGTGTGGAGTGGGTTCTGTGATCTGAACATCCCCAGTATTGGACATGAAGGAAAGGGCAGTTGTTGTGTGATTCTAAAGCTCGGCCTCTAACGAGACGTGAACTTGATATTGGTGCAATGATGACAAAGGTGCAAATACAGTGTGTGTAGCGGTTCATCAACCTAAGTAGAACTCAAGAGGAGTTCATGAGGGATGCGGTGAACTTTGGGTCTGCTTGGTACCCACAAGCTCCTATCATAATGTAACTAGACTGTGAGAGGACAGTCGCGAGTGCCATTCTTTATAGTACGAAAGAAAATAGGTAGTGTTTAGTTGGCAGGGTTTTGGGCCAAATTGAAGATGTGCGAGAATAGGACCTAAGTGTCGCTATCTCTTATAGACTGGCAGCTCACTGTAAGGCAAGGGCCTGGTCTACTTCTACTAAAGGTGTACATAAAAAGATTGAGATACTACACGTCTGGGAAGATGGTTATAAAATGTAATCTGCGAGATAAATCTCAGCAGAATAGCACGATGAAATTTGTCAAAGACAAAGCATCCAAGACAAAGTTCGAGTCGGAGTGGTAAGAAGACTTAACCTAATGTTATGACTAGTGCTCATCAAATGGCAAAGACTAACACACAACCACTAGGACTTGGTCACAGTTGATGATGATAACAAGATAGGATTAAGCGTGAATGTCTAAGTCTACTACAAGTGTAGAAACAAAGAGGTTAAGTCTAAGGAGTACTTATGCTAACTAACCTACTTATATACATACAGTGGCTCAAAAAAGTGTCTGAATGTTTATGCATTTTTAAGTTATTGGATAATAGCAAGCCAGCACCAAACTATAACAAAAGGGTATAGGGATATGTCTGAAATCCCTATATCAAGGCTCTAATCTGAGATATATAGTGTGGGAACCTGACCATATATGGGCAAGCTATGATAATTCTAAATACATCACTCATTCGGACACTTTTTTGACTTTATATTTAACCAAGACTATTCTATGATTCTAGTACTTGGTGCTACCCCCCTTGGCTTTAATAACTGCTGCAATCCTCCTAGGCATACTTTCTATCAATTTTTGACACTCCTCTTCAGCAATCTTTTTCCACTCTGCTGCAACTCTGTCCCATAGTTCAAATAGCCCCTTTGGAGGATCTTGATAGGCAGCAAGTAGTCTTTTGAGTAATTCCTAGAGATGTTCAATGGGATTGAGGTCTGGAGACTGTGCTGGCCATGATAGAACATTGATATCATGGTCTTTAAACCATTTTGTAGCCAGTTTTGAGGTGTGTTTTGGGTCATTATCTTGTTGAAAGATAATGTCTTCTTCATCAATTCCTGACTCCTGCATGCTTTTGAGTAGACACTCCTCTAGAATGGAGATGTACTGCTCTGCATTCATCCTTCCTTCCACCTCACAAAGAATCCCCACACCATTCCACCCCATACAACCCCATACCATCATACTTCCTCCTCCAAACTTCAGTGTACCCTTGACTTCTCTTTCTCCTAATGGTTCTCCTGCCTTTTTCCACACATATTCCTGGCCATCTGACCCCATTCTATTGATTTTTGTTTCATCTGACCAAATAACCTTCTTCCAGTCTTCCACAGTCCAATGTTGGTGCTTTAAAGCAAAGGCCAGTCTTCTCTTCCTATGAGCTACAGAGAGAAGAGGTTTTTTCTTCTTGATTACAGCCTTAAGATTGGCTGCCTTGAGGGTGTTTCTAACAGTTTGGGTGGAGACAGGAGTGGAGATGATGGAATTGATGAACTTGGTAGCTTGGGTAGCATTTGAAGCCTTGCCAGATAGAATTTGGTGAACAATAGCTCTTTTGTTCTGTAGAGTAAGCTTAGGAGGACATCTCATTTGATGATTTTCTTTCTCTGGCATGTGTTGCTTTATGATTGTAGCAATAGTAGACTTGCCAGGACCAGTTTTTGAGGCAATTTGCCTAGTAGATAAACCAGAGGTACAGAGAACAAGGATATTATCCTTTTAAGCAGAGGAGATGGGCTTCATGATGATTATGTTGAATTTCATGATCTTATGTGGGTTTATATATTCAAATAATATTACAATCAGACCATATTATTGTTATGACACCACTTTAATTAAGAGTATAATGTATGAATGGTCTGATTTTGTAATTTTAATAAAAAGTCAAAAAAGTGTCCGAATGAGTGATGTATTTAGAATTACCATAGCTTGCCCATATAGGGTCGGGTTCCCACGCTATATATCTCATATTCTAGCTATGATATAGGGCTTTCGGACATGTCCCTATACCCTTCAGTTATTATTTGGTTCTGCCTTGCTATTGTCCAATTACTTGAAAATGCATAAACATTCAGACACTTTTTTGAGCCACTGTAACATTGAATAGGAGATATCTGAGTATGAAAGAAATCAGCCAATGAGAAAAGAGTCGTACAATACTGCGGATGACTGAGCATGACATCATGATATATAAGTGATGAGTCAGATGGTGACTAAACAGAAACCCAAGATCCAACTGGTTCTTCTTCTGGAAGTGAGATTGTTCTAGCCTGTGGAGTAGGGGAGCCAATCGGAGAAACAATGGGTGATATGTGAAGAGGTGAAGTTGTGACAGGAAGTGAAGTCACGTGACTAGTTCAGTAACTGGAAGTAGCTGAAGGAAAACTGAGAAATGAAAAATGATTTGTATTTTGGATTCGTGACAAGCACTGATCAGAAACCAAAATAGGATTACAACAAGGTATTCACTTACTTATGACCCTGCACACCGTTCACCTGGGCATCATCAGCTTCAACAATGGGCAGGCTAGTCCTGCCCAGCACAAAGTATGGATAATCAAGCAATTTTGGAGGGATCGAGAGTGATATAACATATGTCTGGCTTGAGCTGGCTGCGAAGATGGCACATGACATCCTGTGAGTCATCTACTGTTTGTCTTCATAAAGTTGAACCAGGATGTCTTTCATGGCATTGCTCTCATGCAACATATGTCTGGTCTGAGCTGGCTGTTAGTGAGGCAAGCGACTGTTCAACCAATGACAATCAATGACATGAAGTTTTGGTGCATTCTGGCTTGCTATTTTTAGCACTCACACTTTGCTTCTGCTTTTTCCAGCAGCACTTCTGCTTTGGGGAGTCACATTGCACTCACGTCATGGTAAGTGCAACTCACCTCCTCACTCAGTGATTGTTGCCCTCTACATAGAAGCTCTTGGATTCCTGATCATTGCACTCACATCACGGTAAGTGCAAACTATTATTGCCCTCTAACTTGAGGCTCTTAGATTCCTGATCAATGATTTCATTTCCTCAGCTTCTACAATACAATTCAGTGCATTGGCATTACACACTACACCTCTCTAGTTGTAACAAACAGGTACTTAATTCAACCAATAGGCTGCTCGTTGGAATGAGTGCTAACCCAATTCCAGATTTAAGACAACACAAAGTCAGCATCAGGCCACCCACCAATGGCTTTCCAATCACAGAGTCCATGAAATATAATGTGAAAAGGCACAATTACAATCACAACAGTGAGTTCTTTCAATATTTCCCTTGGCCTACAAATATGAATGAATGGTGCAGGAATCATGCTAGGTAATCTTATCTTAATGTATGGGTATTGTGGTAGCTGACCCAATCTGCCCTAACACAGACAACAACAGCAAAGGGGTCCTCAGGTGCAACTCTCAGAGACCACAGAGGATCAGACACCACCTCCTGATGATGATGATGATGGCCATCATCAAGATGTGTCAATGCCATCAAACTACAGGAATACACCACAATGTGTTGGTCAGATCAAAACTCATGCGCTCTCAGAACTACACACATCTATCCCTGGGTGGCAAACTGAATGGGGCCCTGCAGCTACATGGGGAAAAAAAATTCATCACTTGCTTACCCATGCACAGGAGAAAGAAAGGAGAACAACTGATAAGTTCTTTGCTCACTGTGAGGACCATGTCTGTAAAGGAAGGGCAATACCACATGACCTTCAGCTCCTCGCACATCATCCAAACAAGGGGCCGATGCAAATGAAAGACATGTACATCCAGATGTATGGCCTTATGTCATTGGTTCTCACTAAGGTCATATTTTTCGAGGTCAAGTTCAAGGAGTATGCACCTGCAGTCCCTTTGAGCAAAGTTTCCAAAGTATAGTACTATCATGCTATCTAGCCACTTCTATGTTGTGAAAACTATCTTTCCCACTCATACCAGGACTGGAACAGAATCAATGTGATGAAGTTGTATATATCAAACCTAAAAACTATAGTGAACGGTATAGCAAATGCATTCACTATAACACATACTTTCTGCCCAGCATTCATCATCTTGCTATTGTTTGAGTTGTGGGACTAGGAGCAAAAAATGAAAGGACAATGTAAATCATTTGCAGACAAACTGAGAAGACAAGAATGAACTTGAGTGTTGCAACATGGAATTTTGCTGAAATCGAGTTACAGTTTTAGTTATGGCTTTGGACTGCATGTAGTCCCTTAGGTCTGCAGATGACTCATGGGATGTCATGTGCCATCTTTGCAGCCAGCTCAAACCAGACATATGTTATATCACTCCTGAAAAGCTGCATGAGAGCAACACCAAGCAAGACATCCTGGTGCAACTTTATGAAGAAAAATAGCCAGCTCCAACCAAACATATGTTATATCACTCCTGACAGCTCAAACCAGACATATGTTATATCACTCCTGATCCCTCCAAACAGTCAAACAGATAACACATGTATTATGCAGTAATCATGGTAAGTATGTAATTAGATTTAAATTCCCCCATGAGTGCCACCCAAGTCTATTGTCTGTACAAGCTCTGATAAATCTTCAACCTGAGCCCATAAATCATCACTCAAATGGGCTGTAAAAGTAGGCTTGGAAGGAGGTGTTGATGTACTTTCCAGAATGACTGTGACTGACTCTGAGGTCACAGAACTGGATTCTGTTGCTGGGGAAGAGGGCAGGTGTTGGACATTTTGTGTCTGCAGTTCAACATGGGTATTTAAGATGGGGAGATTTGACTATTGGAAGGGTTAGAATGCAATTCAAAGATTATGGGCAGACGTACTTACTGGACCTTTAATACTGTGGGTCACTTCAGTGTCCATGGTGTGAATCTTTTCTCTTACAGTCTCTGTCTCTGTACCCTCCCCTGTGGTCTTTGTTCGAGTCGTGATGCACTGTGAATGGGTCTGTGTTGTTCTGTTTTTCCAGGTGCAAGTCACCAATGTTTTTGGTCGTGGCAGGCCAAAAAATTATCAGTAAGCTGAAAATTAAGGAAAGTGGTGTTGATGCACACCTTGCAATTGACCAGACTCATAGCTCATGATGGCTATTCCATAGGTAGAAGTATCTGTGTGGGGGGCATCTGCACAGTCACATGTATATGTTAACCAGTAAGTCTCTGTGTTACATCAGATAAATAACACATTGATGGCCATCAATTGCACAGGCAAATGTCCTTGAAATTGGACAGGACTCACCTCATCAAAGATATGCCATGTTGTCTCTCATCAAGACACAGCAGCTCGTGGTGTTGCACCAACAAATGATATCCTTGGACCCAGGAAGATCGCCCTGCATGCTGCTGGTGTGGCTGCCTGCAAAAGCACTCATCTGGCAGGTAAGAATTTTCAAATGAAAATGAGTTTGAGACTGACAAGGGACTCATGTAGTGCTGACCTCTGAAGAGAAACATTGTGGGGAATACTCCCACTGTAGGCATAAAACCCCGTCCTTTCCGCATTGTCTCACATCAGTTCCGCATATTCCGCACATTCTGCATTTCCCGTGCATCATCCGATGGGTTCTGCATTCCCGCGCATCCTTCAGAACATGCCCGCACTATCTGATGTGTTCCGCATTCCCGCACATCATCAGACAACCTTCACATGTCCTGTCCCTATCCTTCCAGGTCCATTGGTACTCTGTATCTCTCTTCCCATTGCTTCTAATGTTGTCCAGATCACATTGACACATGCCCTTATGGCATGGACCCCTATTGCGGACTTTGTAGTAGATCTATTTCTCACTGCTGCATTTGTTGTACCCACAATATGCACTGGAGAACTCACCCAAGATTCTCATCAGCATCTATGTCAGCTTGATCACCTTGCCATGTACATCAATGGCCTTGGGCTAGAAGACCTCGAGAGCTGTGAATGGACATTTTCGAAGTTCAATGCCCTTGCCTCATCTGTGCGATATGCTAGCATGTTTCACTGACAGCAAGCTATTGTGAATTATTTTCAACACAATGATGACTATTGTCATATCCCGTACCTCCGGATCCAGAATTCTGGATCTCCCCCACTAAAGTCCAGATCTCCATCTTGTTATTCCGCCTGGCACTCCGCCTTCATCTCCGTACTCACCCCTAGCTCCTTTTAGAATAGTTATTGCTCCAGCTACCGGTTATATCCTTTCCGTTATGCTTACTGATCTGTCCGTTCATACTTCATTTCTGACTTCACTGCTTTGATCTGTTATGCACTTACTAATAGACTTTCCACATGCTTCGTACATAGCTTTTACTTTGCTGACTGATTTACTTACATGATACCTACAGTATATAAACTCCTGTAATACTCTGGAACTCCTTAGTTCAAATATCACCTTAATTCCTGCTCATTCCTGCATCTCCGCACTTGAGCTTGGTCTCTTGTCAATCTCTGAGTCTTAGGATTGATTCCTTTGACTGTTCCTCCAACTCTCATCTTAGTTCTGCTCATTCCTGCATCTCCGGACTTGAGTCTCGTCTCTTGTCTATCTTCAAGTCTTAGGGTTTAACCTTAGGACTAAATCTCCGACTCTACCTTAGGGTAGTCTAAACTCTGTTCTGTTTCTACTCCAGACTTGTCTGTAGTAGCCTTACTCTGTTCTCTCATAGTCTTCCAGAGTTCCGCCGAACTCCCCCGACGTCTGACCTCCAGACTTCCCCTGACTTCCATCAGACTTCCCCTCTGCCCCTCGGAAATTAAGGGCACATACTCAGGTAAGGGGCGCAGTGCACAAGCTGAAGCCGAAGCCCTTTGAGTAGTCTTTCCCTTGAGCACGACCTTAACAACTACAAGATCTATGCAAATCTTGGTAAGTTCTTCATTTGATTACCTGTAGCAGTATGCTCAGCTCAAGACACTATCCTACTAGGTACATTCTTGTACAACAACTACAAGCAAGCACTTTGCATGATCTCTGACAGTGAACAATCTCTACCAAAGCTCATGTACAAGCTTGGCATAGAAGATGAGAGCATCTTTGATGCCTGGTTAGCTGAGGAATGAGCTTACCTCACATCATTGAGCCATGAACCAACTCATGAGACCCTCCAGATGGAATACTGGCAAAAACTTGTCAACCTATCAGGTAGCAAGTAAGTATATGACCTTTATTTGATCACTGACTATTAACAAGATCATCAGGAAGGACCTTACATCTCAACATTGAAATCAGACAACTGGCTACTTACTTGCATGATAAGAGCCGGTATTTGATTGAATGTGAGAAGCAACTTCAATCATTGCACCCCAGGCTTGCTCATCAAGTGGCCTCACATCACAAGATTCATGCGAGGTTTACTGGACACCACTACCATTGCCTGCATGAGATAAGCATGCTGGAAAGCTTTACAGGGTCCATCATGCTAGGCAAAAGCATGGAATGAGGGTTGGGTGCCAGTGCAAGCTCCCCCACTGTCTGTCACCACCCTACACCCCCCTACACTACCAAGCAGCCCTACATCAGCCCCCAAGGCCCCACTATATTGAATAATTATTTATTTGGGTGCATACAACTGAAAGCCAGTCGATTTAGACCTGCTATCAGGCCCAGCTGTCAAGTCTAATTAGGGTGGTTATGTGGGAACTACAGGTGATACATATCCAAGGAATGAAAGCAAGTTGCTCTACAAATGAGCTTGTTAAATGTCAAAGACCTAATGATTCACTGGGATTAGTGAGCGATTATTAGGGCTGCTCAATTCTAAAAAGTCATTGTCGATGTTGACTTGAGCTTACAGTCACCTCTTGTAAATTACTTACGCAGACCCTAAACCTTTCCTAATTTGTCTACCACCATGTCAGCTAAACTTCGCATGAGAGAATTTCTGCACCTTGCTGTACTGATCCTTGTCCTAATCCTCACTGTATAGAGACCTAAACCTTTCAATGAGTAGTTACAGATATTGCTAAACCTTGTCATGTAGTATTAGTTCCTGAACCCTTACATGTAGTAAATATTGTGCACTAAACCTGTCCCTAAATCAAAGTCTTTTGAACATTTCAAACATGCTTAGCTAGTACTTTTACTGAAGATACTGCATGAAAAATCACTCAAATCACTCAAATCTTGCCCGAGCAAAACCAACACCTAGTAGACTACATGTGTCATGAAAAGGTTTAGGAGTTTTAGATACTACATTGAAAGGTTTAGGCATGGCTCTAGACAGCAAGGATTAGGATGAGGATACTCGCAGTGCGACAAGGTGCAGAAATTCTCTCATGCAAAGGTTTAGCAGACGTGGTGGTGGACAAATTAGGAAAGGTTTAGAGTCCGTGTAAGTAATTTACAAGAGGTGACCATAAGCTCAAATTGACATTGACATCGACTTTTTAGAATTGAGCAGCCCTATTGTGATACTATCATTCCGGGTAATCTGCAACTAGCATGTAATATGCAAAATGTTCAAAACACCTCAATGCGCTGCTCAACTGTCATGAATGTTACCAACTGCATCTAAATTTCGATTATTGAACCCTAAGTCACCTTATCTGATAAGATTAGATTAGATAGATCCCTGATAAGATAAGATGGATAACCGATTAACGATCACTATCTTTACATCACATCTATACTAAGTTGACGTCATCCATCTATATCCGTAACCCTAGACATTCGAAGTCATCACATCCTTAGAAGTCCTACGATTAGGCAACCAGCTACATCATAAGCATCTACACGCCTCTATGATCGAACCACAACCGAGAGTCCCTTACGAGCCGTCTCTCAAGGTCATCACCTCTTCACATGGCAGACCTTCACTTCCCACACATGACATGTTAAGAGTTACCTCTGTCATTCACCGAACCCCTTACATTAGAACCTGTTGCACAGTCACAGCTGAACACTGAAACCCTATCACAGAAGCGCCACTCATAGAGAAGCATGCTCATTACCGAAGACCCTGGAGAACCCCTAGATCCGATCGTATACGATACATCTCCAGATCCTATCTCTTATCGAGATCCTTAATCACCGCTCGAGACTTCTTGTCACAGAACTCTCTCACTCCATTAATCTCCGTTCACCCTGAATAGAAGCAGTACCCTGAGAACCCTGCTTAATTACCGAAACCCCTATGAACCCTTTCTCCTTCCTTGTAGTTGATTGGTTGATAAGACGCCCTATACCCTAGGCGCAATGTTATGATCTTATATAGAATATCATTACCTTTCATACTCAGTTATCTCCGCCTAGAAGAGTAGTATATAGTTTAGGTCGTAGTCAGTAGTACTCCTTAGACTTAACCTCTTCGTTCTTACGTCATCGTAGGCCTAGACGTTCCCTCTCAATACTATCCCTGTTTTATCCTCTCTCAGACGAGTCCTGTGGTGTGGTCCGATCTCCAGACACCTACTAGTTAGGTTAAGGGACGTTGGTCATAACATCAACTCACTTCAAGAGAATTCAGGCATATGTAGACTACTTATAGATGATGTATTGTCCAAGTAGAATGAAAATTTCTTGAGTGTTGCAGCTGCGAGAGATGAAATAGTGATAATTTGTAACCATGCAGGAGCATAAATCATCCAGATCCCATAGATCCTACAGATATATTCACAAAGTTATACCTGGAGCATAACAATCACCTCGTCAGGATTCCAGAACACAATTTCAATAAAGGTCATCCTGTTGTTTTAAGATGCTATAGAGGAAGAATTGATGACATATATGAAAATGTGACAGCAGATAGGAGAGAGTGTAAGAAATTTAATCTCCTCTACAGCACACTCCACTAGTGCACGGCATCTGCACTCTCCACACCAAGTCTTGCATTATGTTGTGTTGTGTCATCTCCTCTTGCATCATTCTTGCATCTTTGTTACAATGGCACCAAACCACAGGTGTACCATCTGTCAGAAGAAAGCCGAAGCAAGACATGATTTATCAAAATTCAATGCATGAACCATTTGGTGGCTATCAACCACAGCCTATCCCTCCAAGTCAACCCTCAATGTTGCGCATGGATCTTCCCCCACCCAAGTATGCACCCCCATATTATGCCATGCACCATTCCGCACCTCAGCTTCAGCCTTCACATATTCCTCACTTTGCGCTGGCTGGTAGAGCAGATGTTCGAGTTGGTGGTGAGGCACAGATATATGATGTTGCAGGCTGTCAGCTCTATTCAGGACCATATCACCAGTACAATCACAATAACTACATGAATCACAATACTTAATAATAATATATTGCTGTGTTCAGTATTTTCAGAGCTTCACACCACTTCAACTTCTTCAAGTTCGACAACTCAATGCCAACAGATCGAGAGCTGTGGAGAGTCAAAGTTGAGGGTGCCGGTGCTGCGCTGAGGCGTGACATGATGTGACCATATTTTGCAGATTAGCAGTCAGACCCTGAATTTTCTCAGCTTTCATCCGACACCACACCACAACATCCTAAAAATGAGCAAAAATCAGATCTATATATAGAGGTGGTACAAATCTACAACCCTCTAAATTCGTGGAAGATAAAATGAAGTGGTTGACGAGCTACAAAAGATTTGCTGAAAAAGTTGCAGATTACCTGGAATGATAGTATCTCCGGAAGATGTATTGATATCTGATCGGAGAATAGAAGTTAAGATACCGTTGTGTATGTACTATCCCTTACAATCTATTCATGATGGACCGTCATTTCGTGAGTCACGCTTTTTCGTGGTGAATTTCGTGACATACCGTTACACCATGTGACAAGCCATCACGTTTCCATGCCCAAAAGTGTGACTCACGAAATGGAGGCTCGTCACGAATAGACCGTAACCGATACTGTGCCTGAATAGGAAATGGGTCACTTACCCTTGATTTCTGATTTCTAGCACTACTTCAGACTATCTTATTTAAGGGACTGCGCGGAACGATAGAAAATGATCATGGCTATCATAATATCGAGTTTTTGTAATTTTAGAGAAGTGTTGTGTATGTCCATGAATATTTTGCCAGAGGGTCTCAATTTCGCTCAAAACCAGTATAGTGGGTCAGTCAGTGCTAGCAAACCCACCCCACAAGCTCATGCAATTATTCTTGGTGGGGATCTTGTCAGACAAGGTTCGAATTGATTCAGGTATACAGTTTTTTGTGAAGGAGGAAGGGAGGGCATAGTAGAGGTCAGAAGTCTCAGTGCTTAGGATACGTGGGAATCATACTTTTGGGCGTGACTTTGAGCACTTGTTTCATACCAACCTTGAGAAGTTCTTGACAGTTCAGCTCAAAATGTTGGGACAGTGACCTTTCGACTACGCTCTATGCGATGGTGAAAACAGTAAGTCAATAGCTGCTGTGGTTGGCGAGAAAAACGCCAGGTGACCCCCTACTGGGTCTGACCCGTAGCTTACTCAGCCACAGTAGTAGTGAAATTTTTTTGGCCTAGTGTTCTGCAAATGGCTAGAATGAACTCGCACTCACGGTCAACCAAGATCTGGACTCATTTGACAGGATTCACACTACGCCCGACAGCAAAGTCGATGGCCAAGCTTTTCACCCTGCATCCCCCGCACCGCCATAACATACAACATACGTCCGACATGCCGTTTACCCAGTGCTTCCTCGTCGCACAATCTTTCAGAAGCTACCAGGCACCTCAATCCTTCGTCGTAGCATCAACAAACCGTAACCACCCACGATATCAGATTCCACTATCAACCTCCTTGCGTATACTTATCGATGATGCTCCATATATGCACCGCGCAAAGACTAGAAGCGGGATTGCCTAGTGAAGGCCTCGATTTTGGAACGGGTCGTGTTGGTGTGGGTTTCTGATCTCTCGAGGGGATGTGCATTTCAGCGAAGATTGTGCCCCGAACTGCCTAGCTGGTGGATGAGCGCTGAGCTTCAAACGCATCTCCACTATTTGTCTTTGTCTTGGGGAGGTTTGCACGATATGGAGCGCATCGATCCAGGACCACAGGTCCCTCGCCCTCTGACGAACAAGTCTATGGTGTCTCAAAAGGAGCCTGGGAGTGATATGTCCAGAACGCGAGGTGCGCTGTGTTGTTCTGATTTACTTTTGCCACTGGTTCGTATACTGAAATTTCCCCTGTACCTCCTGGAGATAGCTGGCTACGAACAGGCATGATGGAGGAGCGGGGGGACTAGGCATGCGATATATCCACGACTCTTATTATTCCGCTTTTTGGAAGAACCTCCCCATCGTCTCCGCTTAGCTACCACACCTCCTCGGTCCTCACATTTCTCCCCATGCTCGGTTTCACAGCTAGATCCATTTTTTCCAAGGCGCTATCTATATCCGTCCACATTCCTTCGACCCTCCTCTCCTCCCATGAAGCTATTCTCTTTCGAATCCTCACTTTGGGGGCGTCGTCGAGGAGCTCCTCGTCGAACAGTAGGTTGTGACTAGGTTTCTTTGGGCAAAAATCATCATGGGCAGCGGTTACGGTTACACCTCGTGGTCTGGGATGTGTGGATATACAGCCGATGATATTGGGAATGGGATAGATCTCCTTGGACCTTGGGCTTGACAGGGGAGGTCACGCAGCATTCTGATTCCTCGAGGCAGGTGCCACTGACCGGAATTTGTATCTTGAAACAGAAACAAGGAACGTGGTGACTTATGGAGATTCGTCACACTTCAGTGCCAGTATAGTTATGAGTGTATCAGTTGCAGCGTGCTGTCTATGATCGTACCCACCTGACACTGTCATGAGGACTTCTAGGTTCAATCTTACAACGAGATTACAAAACTGCATTGCAAGTATTTCAGTCATATGCTATGTATTGAAGTACTTGTTTGAGATTCACTCTATTCCAAGATATCCATTGCTCAAGCGGCAGTTAAATTTGTTCAGAAGCATGCGCATTGATCAACTCGGCAAGAAACCACTAGTAAGTCACGCGTCGTGCTCTCAACATACTGTACCGATGCGAAAGTAGAAACATGGCTCACTGTAGTTCACTGTCGCGATATGCCAGTCACCAGTTTTTCGCACATATCCAAATTGGCTACCAAGCCGGTGAGTCACGGTTAAATCCAGGACGCGAACTACTCGTACTCACTTCGCCACCTGTACTCACAGCGCCTGACAAGATGCATGTTTCTCCCTTGCAGCAGGGATCCCAGTTGCAATAGGGGCGACAAGCGTTGCTGGTGTCAGCGTCGCTGCGGCTGTCAATGGGACTGGCAGATATTGACGCTGTCAAAACAGCAACAACCGGGAGGACGGAGTAGAGACGCATCGTTTGTAAGGATGTGGTATGGAATCAGATAAATCTGAAGGGAGCGGTAGGAAGATGGCTTGCTTTTATGTGCTGGATATTGTTATGGCAGAATTTTATGGCGATATAGGAAGAACCTATCTTATGGAAAATATAATTGATCCTTCCTCATATCTTCCCAAGATCTTGTGAACTTTGTTCATGCACGGTTATAAGGACAGTCGGACCGTAACGTGGTTCGCGAACTACCAGTACTGACTACCAAACCCCCTTATTACTTCCGACAGGATCAGTAAGAGTCTGATTTGAGATCACTGCATGCACTGACAGACATGGTACACCGTGTGTGCGAGCTTATACGAGAGTTGACAATATTTCTGAGGTGGGGGGCGTTGAAGATGGCTCGCATTTATACTCTGAAAATTGTGTTGTGGGCAGGACTTCACGTGGCGAGAATCTATATAGGCAGAACCTATTAGCTAGTAGAACTTGAGGGTCGGCGGATGAACAAACCATAAAATAAACACAGCCTGCGTTGACGGAGATGCATATGTCCCGCTACCTTAGGATGTTGAATGTTGAGTATTGCAGGTCGATAAGTACACAGTCAATACTATGTTCTCACTTCCAGGTTCATGAGGGGCATCCCGAACCGACACGCCTCACCATGAAGCCGCCAGCCACCTCAAACCCCTCGTCATAGTATTAACAAGCGCCGTAACCGCATTGAGACCCAGAGACGCGGAAGGAGTTAGGTAACACCATCATAACGATATGACGATGACCACCCAACCCCTTATTGGACCATGACTACACACGACGGCTGTCCCACAGGTCAATCGTACATTCGAGTCCTCAACCGGTGTCCTCGCGTATTAAGGATTCAGCTAGTTGTAGCTGATATCAGCTGATATCGACCGGTTCGCTATGTTGTTCGCACCTGCAACAATACCTGTCTTTCGTAATCAGCCACCGCTAACGACGCAGAGAACGACCCTACTGTGCTCGCTCGACCAGCATATTATTTTATCTCGCTGAATACACTGTATTCCAGATGTGAACCCAAGTTACCCTCGATAAGCGACAAAAAAGAGAAAGAACTCTTGTTGTCGTGAAAGACACAAGAGATGCGATTTTGGATGCATAGATTAGGGAGGGGTTGTGGTCGGAAACTTGAAAGAGGAGAATAATATGGGAGTACTAGTGGCGAATCGTGAGTTTCCTGGCGTCTCCATCTGCGTCCTTGGAGCTCAGCTCATTTCCGCTGATCATTTTCTTCTGGAGACCCCATCGTGACCGTCTCTCAAGCATCGGGGATGGGCTAGAAGAGAGTACACTGGATGTGTACAAATGGACAGTGAGGGATGATTATGTAGCGCTCTGCGAACCTGGGTTTATATCTTTGGCGGCGGGTGAGCAATTTATTCCGTTCTTCGGATCTCGAGCTTTCGCAATTCGACAAAGATTTTCCACCATCTAATGGGGTCGTGATAAACCCCAGCGGCTCAGTGCAGACCAAAAATGCATCCATGAAGCCCAGTAAACAGCGCCTATGACGGGAGGAGTAGTCATGGTGTCATCGAGGGCTCCTGAGTTCAAGCTTACAACGAAACTACAAAACTGCGTTGTGAGCACTTCAGTCATATGCTATGTGTCCAAGTACTTGTTTGAGATTTCCTCTATTTTAAGATATCCATTGCTCGAATGGCAGTGAAATTTGTTCAGAAGCAAGCACATTGATCAACTCCGAGGCAAGAAATCACTAGTAAGTCACGCGTCGTGTCATCAACCACACTGCAACGATGCGAAAGCAGAAACACGACTCACTGCCAGTGCGACTGCGCACATATCCAGAAGTCTTCCTACCATGCCGGTGAATCATGTGGTTAAATCCAGGATACAAGCTTCTCATACTCACTTCTATACCATCACTCCAGGCATCTGACAAAATGCATTTTTCTCCTTTGCAGCAGGTTTCAGTGTTGCAAAATTCGGGACAAATACGACCGCTGTCAGGGTCACTCTCGTTGTCAACGGGACTGGCAGATATTGACCCTGTCAAAGCAGCAATAACGGTCAGGACGAAGCAGAAACGCATTGTTTGTAAGGATGTGATATGGGATCAGATAATTCTGAAGAGAACGGTAGGAAGATGGCTTGCTTTTATGTGCTGAATACTGTTCTGGCAGAACTTCATCGCGACGTAGGAAGAACCTATCTTACGGAAAATACAATGAATCATTCCTCACATCTTCCTAAGATATTGTGAACTTTGTTCACGCACGGTTATACGGACAGTCCGACCGTAACGTGGTTCGCGACGTGACTAGTACTAACTATCAAAGCCCCTCATTGCCTCCGACAGGGTCAGTAAGAGTCCGAGATCACTGCATTCACTGACAGACATAGACATCATGCGTGTGGGGTTATACAAGATTTGTCAATGAGAATATTTTTGAGGTGGGGACATTGAAGACGGCTCGCATTTCTACCCTGAACATTGCGTTGTGGGCAGGACTCGAACATTCTTCTCGCAGGGCGAGAATCTACATAGGCAGAACCTATTAGGTAGTAGAACTTGAAGGTCGGCGGATGAACACATCATAAAAATCAACACAGCCTAAGTTGATGGAGACGCATACTTATTACCGCCACCCCATAAGGTTGTTTTTGATCGTGAATCGTTGGCAACCGATTGTCCCCTTTATTTTAAAGTGCCTACTGCTCCTTGTCACAGGGAGCATACCGACTGGCCGAGGCGACATGTTCAATGTGCGCCAGTTCAAGTTACTGAACCAAGAACTCCAGCCCACGTAACTAAAGTCTAAGATTCGGGCTGATGTGTTCAGCCCTGCAGGCCTGTCTGTCAGGACAAGTCTCACTTGGTTCAGTTGAATTGCGTAGCGTTTAGCACGGCCGTTGTGATATGTAAGTAGTTTATTAGGATGAAAAGTCGTACGGCTATGTTGGATGGCGAGAGGGACTGCTGTATAATTAAGAGCTATGGAAGAGAATTGTGTATCGTAAGTTGTTATATGTCAATATCACCTTTCGGCGTGACGTATGAACCTGAGTTGGCTGCAGTACGTCGAACGTCCTGACAAACAATGTGGCCATCGTTATTTACGACGTGCCACTGTTCCACCAGCAACTGCGTAATCTAGGGAGAAATGCCCCCTCCCTGTATCTCGACGAACACGCTTACCTTATATTGAACAGTGCCCCGTCACACAGCACACGGCCAGGACGGCCACTGCTTCCGATTTCCATCCACAGGCACCCGACGCATACGAGGTGCATTGCGCATGGGCTGCCACACCAACGCGAGCTCCAGAGCCATTCTGAACCGAAACACTCTACCAGGGGCACACGAACGTGAACCCGCCTACACCGGCGTACTTGAAGATGTGCTATGCCCAGGGGAGGTTGATACGCTCTCCGGTGAATATCAAGCAATAAGTTCGACTGCGCGGCGATCATAGCGGAGGTCACATCTCGTGATCTATCAGGGGTTTGCATGTATAGCTGAGGATAGATATCCCTGAGTACGGGTGAGATATCATCCGGAATGTGCGCGTACCCGCACGCTCTCGTGTACGACACGCGGGTGATCCCAGTGATGCCGATATCCATACTAGACTGTTTATCTGGGTTTTAAGCGTTGCGGATGATGATAACTACAAAGGTGCACAATCCGGATTGGTTGGACTTGTGAAGGATGTCTACCGCCGGGGATTGCGTGGTCTTTTCGGATGCCATTGTAGAGGACGCGGGGATGTTGAAGGGTGAGCATGTTGAGCAGAGGGTTTTGGTTTTTTAGGAAAGGGTGGTTAGTGTGGATGTGGGATGCGAGATAGAGGTTTGAGTGCAGGTTTTTCGTCCACGCTTTGATGGGCAGAACATCGAGGGCTGAATATAGGGATGCTGCTTGTGCCCTGTTGTTATCAGGCATGGAACGGGTGTCCTTGTTAACGTCAAGGGAAGTTGCACAGAATCCTCGAGGCAGGTTTTTGACTTGTGTCATTTGAAACAAGGAACGCAATTATGGAGATCTGTCAGTACAGCTGTGGGCGTATCAGTCTCAGCGCATTGTCTAGATATGACCGTACCTTTAATAACCTCACCTATAGTATCTGACAAGCTTGATAATCCCCTGTTTAGGGGATTAATTTATTAGCTAGACATATCATAGACGAAGGAACACGGTCCTTACTGAACAATATACTATGGAGTGATTTGTGATTCGCAAACGCCAGGATGATCATTAGTGCGCTGTACACTTGCTGCGAACATGCTCCGTATCAGGCAGTTACTTAAACATTACAGTCATTTCCGAAAGTCTTGACTCACGTGTTCGAAATGGTTCAAAAATAGTGAAAATGTCGAAAATTCAAATAAATCGAAAATTCAGCAAACTTGCACCACTCTCCTTCAAAGTCGAGCAGAAAAGCATAACTGTCACTCTTTTGAACATTAGATTATGTCTAATACAGTAACTGAATGCTCCGACGAGGAGAATGCCTCTCATTCGCAACACTCTGATGAAGAGTCTGTTGATGGTATTCATATGATCATTCACTCTATTCCACAGCCTACACTACAGATAACCGCTATGTCTATACCAGCCTCGAGCATTTTCGGCATTTACAGCCTTGAAGCAAGCTTCACGAAGTTCCTGCTCGGGGAATTCGCTGTGTTGGTGATCTCTCCAATGCTGTCGAAGCCACTTCTTCACTGTAGAGAAAGTGAGCGACTGAATAAAATGAATTATGTCCAAACGTACAGCAACTGAAGCTCTCCTCGATCGGATTGAAGTCCGGAGAGTATGGCGGTAGAAAAATAAGTAAGCAACCTATGAATGTGTCAGACACTTGCAGGCAAAGCAAAGTAGCATTAAGCAAACTAGATGCCTCAACAACTTCTCGTAAGGCATCACTCTTATGAGTGGAACAGTTGTCAAGGACAATCACACTGTTGGGGCCAGGAAATGCGTTCATATTGGGCAACTACAGCAGATTTGATCAGTGAAATTTCAGACAATGAAAAGAATGCACTTGCTACATCATTAACGACGAAATTGTAGAACTCTGCCCCATCTATTGATCCCTCAATGACTCGAACAGTCAGATAGCCGTCAATAGTGAGAGCTGGCAACACACTGTATCGAATGCCCCTGTTTAAGCGGACACTGTCAATGGGGTATTGTCCACTGAGAGACCAACCATATCTAGGGAGTACGGTGCGGTCATCTTTGCTTGACTCGTCCAGGAACACGAGCTGCTCAGCTGTATAGTTGGCTGTCATGTTGTGCAACCAATCAGCTCGGAAATCGTCATCGCGTTCGGCCGCTATCCTTTTCAAGCGTTTGTAGGTGAGTCCAAGGTCCCCAAGGTTGCGGTAGAGAGCTGATGTGGATATTGGCTGATCATGATATATGGCGAGCCATTCGCCGATCTCGTCAAGTAGCAGTGACGGGTTTTCAGCCAGCAGCTCGCAGATCTCGTCCTTCATGATTTGATCCAGCAAGCGAGGGCGGCCCATGATTGGTTTGTGAGGGTTAACACATCCATTTTCATTATAATTTGCCTTCCACCGCTCTATACTTCTTGACGACACTCCAAAAGCAGCAGCAATGCGCTCGATCTCCCATCCTTCCTCCAAAAGCAGGTACAGAGCTCGTTCTTTTCGGTCAGGACTGATCTTCTGGTAGACCATAGTGAGTTTGAGTGAGAATTTGTGCAATATGATGTGTCTGACGGCGTGCAGAGGCGTATATACAGCTCGAAACTGATTTATTTGAATTTTCGACATTTTCACTATTTTTGAACCATTTCGAACACGTGAGTCAAGACTTTCGGAAATGACTGTACGTACTCAACACCTGCTTCAACGTTGCACTCAACGACGACCTTTCTTTTCATTATCTCCTAAAATCCTTGTAAATCTTGTGCGTCCTGGTCCTGCGATTACTGCGAGTAAACACCTGAGAAGAGACACAAGCGATGCGATTTTGGGTGGATTGGGGAGGGGTAGTGGTCGGAAACTTGAAAGAGGAGGATAATATGGGAGTACTAGTGGCGAATCGTGAGTTTCCTGGCGTCTCCATCTGCGTCCTTGGAACTCAGCTCATTTCCGCTGATCATTTTCTTCTGGAGACCCCATCGTGACCGTTTCTCAAGCATCGGGGATGGGCTAGAAGAGAGTACACTGGATGTGTACAAATGGACAGGGAGGGATGATTATGTAGCGCTCTGCGAACCTGGGTTTATATCTTTTGGCGGCGGGTGAACAAAATTTTCGTTCTTCTTCAGATCTCGAGCTTTCACAATTTGACAACAATTTTCCACCATCTAATGGGGTCGTGATAAACCCCAGCGGCTCAGTGCAGACCAAAAATGCATCCATGTAAACAGCGCCTATGACAGGAGGAGTAGTCATGGTGTCATCGAGGGCTCCTAGGTTCAAGCTTACAATGAGACTACAAAACTGCGTTGTGAGCACTTCAGTCATATGCTATGTATCCAAGTACTTGTTTGAGATTTCCTCTATTTTAAGATATCCATTGCTCGAATGGCAGTGAAATTTGTTCAGAAGCAAGCACATTGATCAATTCGGCAAGAAATCACTAGTAAGTCACGCGTCATGTCATCAACCACACTGCAGCGATGCGAAAGCAGAAACACGACTCACGGTAGCCCCCAGTTTGACTTCACACATACCCAGAAGTCTTCCTACCACGCCGGTGAGTCATGTGGTTTAATCCAGGATGCAAGCTTCTCATACTCACTTCCGTACCCTGAGCCCAGGCGTTTGACAACACGCATTTTTCTCCTTTGCAGCACTTTGAATGGTTGCAAAAGATGGGACAAACATAACTGCTGTCAGGGTCACTCTCATTGTCAACGGGACTGGCAGATATTGCCCTGTCAAAGCAGCAATAACGGTCAGGACGAAGCAGAAACGGCATTGTTTGTAAGGATGTGATATGGGATCAGATAATTCTGAAGAGAACGGTAGGAAGATGGCTTGCTTTTATGTGCTGAATACTGTTCTGGCAGAACGTCATCGCGACGTAGGAAGAACCTATCTTACGGAAAATACAATGAATCATTCCTCACATCTTCCTAAGATATTGTGAACTTTGTTCACGCACGGTTATACGGACAGTCCGACCGTAACGTGGTTCGCGACGTGACTAGTACTAACTATCAAAGCCCCTCATTGCCTCCGACAGGGTCAGTAAGAGTCCGAGATCACTGCATTCACTGACAGACATAGACATCATGCGTGCGGGGTTATACAAGATTTGTCAATGAGAATATTTTTGAGGTGGGGACATTGAAGACGGCTCGCATTTCTACCCTGAACATTGCGTTGTGGGCAGGACTCGAACATTCTTCTCGCAGGGCGAGAATCTACATAGGCAGAACCTACTAGGTAGTAGAACTTGAGGGTTGGCAGAGACGTATACTTATTCCCGCTACAGTATAACCACTGGTTGACACACCACCATTCCTTGGCACACTTGGCAATCACTCATTAAATTAACATTTGATACGCCTTGATACTCTGTAGTTAGGTCTATAGATACATCTAATAGATATGGAAAAAAACTTGAGCAATCTCACTAAGCCATGTTTCGTAGATGCACAAATTCTTGTTGAAATGTGGCTGAGTTGGCTGCCAGTACGTCGAACGTCCTGACGAACAACGTGACCATCGTTATTTACGACGTGCCACTGTTCCACCAGTAACTGCGTAATCCAGGGAGAAATACCCCCTCCCTGTATCTCGACGAATACGCTTACCTCACTGTATTGAACAGCGCCCCGTCACACAGCACACGGCCAGGACGGCCACTGCTTCCGATTTCCATCCACAGGCACCCGACGTATACGAGGTGCATTGGGCATGGACTGCCACACCAACGCGAGCTCCAGAACCATTCTGAACTGGAACACTTTACCAGGGGCACACCAACGTGAACCCGCCTACATCGGCGTACTTGAAGATGTGCTATGCCCAGGGGAGGTTGATGTGAATATCGAGCAATAAGTTCGACTGCGTGGCGATCATAGCGGAGGTCACATCTCGTGGTCTATCAGGGGTTTGCATGTATAGCCGATGACAGATATCCCTGAGTACGGACGAGATATCATCCGGAATATGCGCGTACCCGCACGCTCTCGTGTATGACACGCGGGTGATCCCAGTGATGCCGATATCCATACTAGACTGTTTACCTGGGTTTAAAGCGTTGCGGATGATGATAGCTACAAAGGTGCACAATCCGGATTGGTTGGACTTGTGAAGGATGTCTACCGCCGGGGATTGCGTGGTCTTTTCGGATGCCATTGTAGAGGACGTGGGGATGTTGAAGGGTGAGCATGTTGAGCAGAGGGTTTTGGTTTTTAGGAAAGGATGGTTGGTGTGGATATTGGATGCGACATGGAGGTTTGATTGCAGGTTTTTTCGTCCGCGCTTGGATGGGCAGAACATCGATGGTTGAGTATAGGGACGCTGCTTGTGCCTTGTTGTTATCAGGCATGGAACAGGTGTCCTTGTTAATGTCAAAGGAAGTTGCGCAGAATCCTTGAAGCAGATGTTTGACTTGTGTCAGTTATGGAGATCTGTTAGTACAGCTGTGGGCGTATCAGTCTCAGCGTACTGTCTAGATATGACCGTGCCTTTAATAGCCTCACCTAGTAGTATCTGCCAAGCTGGATAATCCCCTGAATAGGGGATTGATTTGTTAACTAGACATATCATAGACGAAGGAACACGGTCCTTACTGAACAATATACTATATAGTATGGAGTGATTCATGATTCGCCAACGCCAGGATGATGATTAGTGCGCTGTAAACTTGCTGCGAACGTGCTCCGTATCAGGTAGTTACTTAAACGTTACGTACTCAACACCTTCTTCAACGTTGCACTCAACGACGACCTTTCTTTTCATTATCTCCTAAAATCCTTGTAAATCTTGTGCGTCCTGGTTCTGCGATTACCGGGAGTAAACACCTGAGAAGTTCGCTATCGTTCACCTTACTTGTATTCTGTGAGCAGTAGGCCTCATTCATCCAATGCAGCACCTCATGACAATGTGCATGCACAGAGCTCAATTTTATCTTGTCCTGCATACTTTTTGAGCAGGTCAGTCTACTGCGCACAACCAGCTGGCCATCACCCCTAGAAGACAGTTCATGAACTAGCTACCTACCCACCATCTGTACCCATAAGCCGAGTCTCATATTCACTAATCGTCAGCTGCTGCAGCTCCAAAGGTCATAGCTATCTTGCACCTCATGTTATAACCTTGCATGTATGACCCTATCATTTTTTTCTGAACGCTTTGACCCACAGAGAGAGTTTCAGAACACCATCATATAACGACATGACAATGACTACCCAACCCCTTATCCCTCTCCCATCTCACGACTACACACGAAGGCCATCCCATAAGCCAATCGCACATCCTCAGCCAGTTTCCTCACGCATTAACCAGCTCGATGCAGCTGAAATCGACCGTTTCGCCACGTTGTTCGCTCCTGCAACACCCCCAGCAACTCCAACACCTGTCTTTCGCGATCAGCCACCGACGACGACGACGACGCGCCCACAGCACCACAGGATTCGCACAGTCAGTGCAGACTCCGATTTCGGTGCCTTTGTATCGGTGCCTGCTGCTCAGGACCCACTTTCATTCGACTTTCCAGCGGTCGAATCGTCTGTTTCTGCTGGGAAATCGCGAGGACTTGGGAACACGAGCTTGCATTACTTTGATCAGTTCACGTCAAGCGCAAAGACTGCTTCTGAGCACAATAGACGGGTGCTTCTTGATGAGCTATTGCAGCATGAAGACGATCCTTTGTATTTCCTCCAAGCGCATAGCGAACCTCCATTGCCTCCTCCATCTGAAGATCGACCAACTTCGCCTCAACGGAGCATCGTTATACAATCACCGCTTCCGATACCACAAACTGGGAACTTAATCGACGCAGATATCAAGCCTCCTTCTCCACCACTACACAAGTTGCCCGTGCTCGCTGCGAGCGTAACTTCTCAGCCTTCCCCTGTAAACATACGCACGCCTCTTCCTCCCCGTCTCAGCAGAACCGCCTCCCCTCCATCCGCACACACACCTCCTACATCAAACTCCTCATTGCCCTTCCCCTCTTCCCCAGCCACACCTCCAGCACACACCACATTACCCCGCATTTCCTCAAGCTGGGTCTCCTCGTTCCTGCCATCTGCCCGATCTAGACAATCCACAGTGTCTTCTAGCTCAACCCTGGTAAATTCAGCGCCTAGTATCATGCCTCACTCGGCGGCTATTCATGTCCCGCATCAGACGAATGGTATCACGCGTGGCACCCCTTTTGGTTCTCACCCTTATATTCCCCCATCTGGGGCCCCTGGTTTCGTGGGCGATCGGTCCTGGGATAAGGGGTTTTCTGATGCGCTCCAAGACGAGGAGATGAGTGAAGTGAAGGGCGTGTTGGGAAAAGGGAAGAAGGTGAAGGGTCTTAATCTTGTTGGAAGGAGAGAGGGCACAGTTGCAGTACTAAGCGAGACTGTCGCAAATCTCGTGCGTATCCTTTTTTTCAGCGCATACAGTCAGCACTGATACATACTTGTAGATCCGTCCTCACCTCCCAGCGCTCACTCGTCTCCCACGAACATGGACCCTCCTATACTCACTCGACCAACACGGTATCTCACTCAACACACTCTATTCCAGATGCGAACCCAAATTGCCCTCGACGCCCGGCTCAACAAAAGGCGCACTCGTCGTAGTGAAAGACGCCCGAGATGCCGTTTTCGGAGCGTGGATGGGTGAGGGATTATGGTTGGAAAGAGGAGGATATTACGGGAGTGGCGAGTCGTGAGTTTCCTTGTACCCCCCTAGGTCCTAGGAACTCATTTTCTCACAGGTTCCTCTGGAAATACCACCGTCCATCACCCTCAAGCGAAGACTCGTTGAATGGACTAGAAGATTCAGAGGGGACGCTGGATGTTTATAAATGGACTGGGAGGAATGATTATGTTGCGCTTTGTGAGCCTGGGTTTATATCTTTCGGTGGCGGGTTCGTAAGCTTTTCTTTACTTTTTATCTTGTTCACTTTCTCGGTCCTCTCAATCGTATGGCTGACACACGTGCGCAGAGACGGACATTACGGTCTATACCTCGACGCCTCTCTCCTCGACGGGTCCTCAGCACCATGCCCTACGTTTGATAATACTGTTCTGTGTTCACGTGGGGATGGTGGGAGTCAGGGGCTTAAGAAGGATGTGAGCTTTGAGTGCGTTGGGTTGGAGGTGTGGGGTGTTGGACCGTGATTGGTGTTGTTGAGGCAGGAGGTCGGGATGCGATGCGATGTGTGCTTGATTCCCTTGTTTTATTGAATTGCTCTCGAAGGCGAGTGGCATGTGTAATAGCGGCATCTTGTTTTAATCTTCTTGGTGAGACGATTTGAGTGAAGGACGGGTTGCAGGGAGAAAAATAGAATTAAGTAGATGTGATGTAAACCTTCTTGTAGTTATAGCACAGTGAGGTTCACCTCATCCACCATCCTCGATCTGATGTATTATCCGACGCCCACCACCGCAGCAATGAGGTATCAACGCGGTACATTTCGAAACATGCAAAGAGGGTACCTAGGACAAGTCGCTGAGAAATGTCAATATGGCATCCATCCGTATATCAAAACTACCAATCGCAAGGAACCCAACGGACGCAGATGAATGAACATCGAGCTAACCGCTATCCCGAACTCACATCACAGTATGCAAGATATCCTATGACTCCTCAAGAATAGACTCGGAGCACTAGTGTCCAACTCGTAGGATGCAGCTACCATTGGTAAGACATCTTGTGGTGTACGTGTGTTTGTCGGGTCTCGACCTCTATATTGAAGTGGAGTGACTAGTACAGAAGGGAGGACTTCAGACAGCGGGACGTTCATCTAAATTGCTAAAAAGCAAGCAATAGATTTAGCGGGACCGTTTTTTGAAAGGCACATGGATACGTACTCGGTGTTCCACCCACCATCCCGGTGAGCGGTGGATGTTCCTCTCCAAGGCACGCACTTGACCTGGGGTGGGACAGTCATCATCGGCATCCGTATCCCTCCACACCACGAGCAACAGCACAGTTGACGAAGACACCTCTACGCACTCTGGTGCGACATTCACTGATTCTCCGACCAGCTGGCCACGTGCAACGGTGCAAAAGGAAAGACCGAGAGCTTGTTCGAGGAAGACAGGGGCGTTCATTGTCATGAACCAGCGGTCGGCGTCCACGCCTGGTCGAATGCGGTTGAAAGCGATGGTGCCCAGGTCCCCAACTTCTTTCATCGTAATGGGGAAACCGAAAAACTGACGATAGCCACCTGGAGCCCGGGGAGGCCTTGCGAGAGCGAGCTGAGGTCTGCCTAAGCTGCGTTTAGCGGACACCCATTCAATTTGCTCCGAGTTAGACGTTGTTTTTGATTCGGGAATCTTAGGGAAAAACCAAAGGACGGTAAGCACCAAATATATACATGCTATGCAGACCCTCACCTGAAGTCTTCTTAGACTTCGTTCTAGTTGGCTTGCAGTTGAAGGCATATTTTTGAGACGTGAAGCGAACAACGAACTCGGCTAAACATATATGCATCCCATGGAGGCACCCACGCCACTGTGGTAAGCAAGGAGGAGTGGCTGTCTGCCTTTGTTTCTACGGTGGACTGCGAGTAAGCGGGTAGGCCTGACGAGACTACCAGAGCAGGCGAGCTACAACTGGAGTAGAGGAATGGCTTCAATAGTTTAGGTACTTGTAAGGGAACCTCAATCTGGATGCGCAGCCAGATCCCTGGCGTTGATTGTGCAACGATTCGCCACCGGCGGCATACACGAGTGAAGAGTAGGGGAGAACCGCTACTGAAGCTTGAATATGCATTGATCCTATGGACAACGTTTTTCTAACTGAGCCCCGATTAAAGGCCTGACTTTAGAAGAGGTGGGTCTGAGCAGGAGAAAGAGATCTAAAGATATCGATACTGCTGGCGAGCTTGCAATCCTGACAGCCATAATGGGGGCTGGTGTGATTTTTAAATACGTGACCAATCCTAGGCCTCACAGACCAGTCTGGCAGTTCGTTGAACTCTCTTGGCTTCATTTGCTCGCATTTTTCTCAGGTCGGGTCACCACTTTGTTATTGTTCTTTCGAACATTGCGCAGCGCATCGCACCAAACGCTATTGGATCATCGGTCACCAATTTCAATTCCGTTCACAAAGAATCGTAATTCGTCACCGGCGATCATCAGATGATGCACGACCATGGCGAAACCCCCGCACATTACGCCCTTCCTTGAGCGGATCTTCCCGAGGTAAATGATGATCAAGTGGATGATGATGATTCCATCCTTTTAAGGGCTTCAACAAAAAAACCTCTCGAAGCTAATTACTGGGAGCAGAGCGATGGTATCATGACTGATGATAATTTAACACAGCAACACTATTCTTTTTTTTTCTTTTTTTTAAAAAAATCCAATTTTATGTCCATTGAGAGTAATACTCTATGTAGGACAATACTATCTAGTCAACACTATTCTTAGCCGGGCATGTACGTGACCGCCTCAGTAGTTCTGCCAAATTAACAGCGTTTCGAGACAGGGCACGGTGCCAGGTGCAATGTTGTCGTTGATGTGCTAGGCTGTTGTTCCACATGCTCAAGGCAGAAAGTGTCGCGAATCCCCGGGGCTGACGAACGTTTGATCTTCCTTCAAGTATCATCAGTTCATTAGTCCTTGAAAAATAATCGTCTAGTGTACAAGGTAACCTCCCTCGTTCTGCTGTCATTAAGGATCAGTGATGGATAAAAGGATCACGAAGGTCTCTGAGTTTGTACGAACCTCTCAAATCCCACCCTTCACTCATACATCGTTGTTGCGGTGCGCTGCTCTTGTATTCTGTCGTTCGGATCTTCCTGACAACCTCCCGACCCATGATTTTCACAGCCATAGCAGTCCTCGATCATGGCATTGAAACTCATGTCGTTCCCGATCTTTGCTATCTTTCTGATCGCTTGCTGTTCGTATTTGAATTATCATCCGCACCTCTTCCACTTAACTGGAATTTGGTTTAGTATCCCTTTTTGCGCGTGAGAGACCAGGTTCTCGTCCTCTTTGCAAGGATATCGTTTTAGCCAAGGACGTCGTTGAGGTCGGTGGACTGTTTCCTGTTTTATGCGTCGTTGGCTGTGTTTCTATCGTACACCGTTGATTCAACTTGATTGTGAGGAGGAAAGTTTGTTCAACTGAGCGCTAAGCCGTCGCGGACTTTCAAATGAGAATTAGGCTTGTCCTGAATCCTGATGCGATGCTCCTAGCGCTCAGCGCTCATGGATATGATTCATGATGCATGATGGTGAACCTGTGACGGACCGGATTGTTTCATCTTTGTAAATCAATTATCTCTTGTAAGCAACTCTATCACAATGAGCTCGCCTGAATTTGACACTCGGTATTAATAGCATTCGTTGGGCTGAAGACTCGGCTGGCGAATCGTTTTCGAGATGCTCCATTTGAAATTCAGATAACCGCCATTAATGTGATGATACAGTAGCTTGCATGAAGCAATGGACTTGAGGCAGAGGGCACATTGGAGAGATCAGTTATTAAGGAGTGTGCATGTGTGCATCCATTCTATCCTTCATCATGGCATTTTTGGCTTCTCTTCTGTCTAGCGTCATGCTGATAGATTGTGATCTAGGCTTTCATAATTCCTGTGTGGAGGACGGCGTTGAAAACAAATCCCCGAAATCATGAATAGCTTTTCGAAATGGTGTTCAATATCCGTGCGTAGGGCACCGCTTTGCAGATCCACAATGAAATTCTGCTATGATTCTATCCCATGGTCTCGAAAATGACTTCTGCTTGCTACTTGGTTTTTGGAGATTCATCAAAGGCACTGTAGCAGTAGTATATCAAGCACGAACGTTATCGTTATACATCCATCAATGCATCAGGCTCGCCACTCACTGACACCAATATCAATTAATCCCTTGAATATGACCGTAGTCATAAATGATCCCAGTGTGTGGGCGCTCATCAACTACAATCGTATTGTCAGCTATTTCATAGGTTCGTGGTGGACAAGTTAAATGATGTTTGTGAGGTCTCACTCGACCTCTGGCTGTGGCTTCATAGTTGCAGCTTCTACTGCGGTGGCATACGATTCGGGTGAGCGAGACAATACTTATCGAGATAATTATTGATGTCCTTATGGTATTCTCCAGCCTTGATATTCGGACAAGAGGTGAGTCGATGTTATTACCGCAGCATCCACCTCACCATGAATGGTTTTATAGTTTGAACTGGTCTGGGTGGGCAGAGTCCTTTATCAGAACCACATGAATTAATTTGGGGCAGAGGCAACGCTGGTCCCTCATGACCGTGGTATATCTCAGCGTACGTAGCTTATGTTAAACACAGTTGGCAAGTTGCACTGATTTCAAAATATTCTAGCTGCGCTTCGCTGGAGCATTATACTCTGTGTATGTCTGCTTGGTTGACCAGTTGACGGTGTGCTAATAAGCCATGTCTCACAATCAGCATGAACCTTCTATGTAAGCATATTCACGTACACACTACGGTAGTTCCTCTGACTACTTTTGGCATGCAGCGAGTCTCCCATCATTCTCGATGACCGATACAGTGAGTATTCTGCACCGATGCTTGCCCTTCCTGTCCAACTAATTGTACTCCCATGGAGGGGTGGGTGAGATTCTCGACCAAATTGTTGAATCTGACGACTGAAACAGCTGTGAGTCATTCGAAGCATCGACTCCCATCTCTAATTGACCCTTCAGGCACGTTTATTGCTTTTTCACAATTATGGGTGGCTTTTGTCGCAAATGGCCTGTTGAACGGTGAGCTACTCAGTTTTCAGGGATATCGACTTGACTGAAATACCATGCAAGTGGTCATCGTCGCTCGGTTACATGCCATGTATCAGCAATCCAGAAAAATGCTCACCTTCCTCGTTACAAGCTTTCTGGTGATTATGATCGCCTGCGGACTGATCATTGTGATACAAGAAAGTAGCTATATGTCAGGAGGTAAGCTTTACCTCTGAATGAAGAACTCAAGCGCATCAAGCTCATGGATAAATGCAAGAGGAGGTCATGCTCTCCGGAACGTATCTATGCAATGTTACTGGACCAGCCCGCGTTCTGACACCCGTGTCTTGGATACTCGCCACTGTATGGGAGCTCCTAGCACTGTTTCTTGTAGTCTGGATCGTGGTCAAACAAATTCGTGAACTCAAACGATGGACCATCGAGGGCCGTCTCTCGGCGCTAGTGAAAACCCAGATGCTATACTTTGCCGCGTGAGCTTGTAATTAATCTGATTATATTTTGCGCTCAGTTCTGCACGTGCTAGGTTCATTGCTGCTGCTTGCTTGACCATCGGCTTGTTCTCTCCCAATATATCTGTACGCTCTGTAATTGACATCTAGCATCTGATCACTCCTCATCATTTCTATAGAACTCATATTCTGCGGGGACCGAGATTTATGCTGGCGCTCTTGAAATCCTCCAGATCCTGCAGATATGTGTACTGGGACCACGCCTCGTCCTGAATGTTCGGGAATATAACGCCAAGTTTGTGGCCAACTCCGATGCAGGAACTGGCATACAATTGCTTTCCAGGAGCACGTACCCGACACGTCAAGTGGCAGTGGTGTAGCACGGGGGGCAGTGGACATCTGTCGGGTAGGGGCATGAAGGTTCTATCGCGGTACTGAAGATTGATGGAGGCCGAAATAGGCTTAGAGAGAAATAGGTTTGGGGAAACCGCGATACATACCATGATGCTAGCTGAGATATCCACATTGACACTGGCACTTGCATTCATAAGCACTTACGTAATATAGAAGTTTGCCTACCCACACCTTGCAAGAAAGCTGAATTCTAGAATTTCCACTCACAATAGAACAGCTGGCATATGTACGCAGTCGCATTCGCTCCAAATCTGAGTCGAACACATGGTCTGCGAGTTCCGTCAGCGGAAACAACGACATTCGAATCTCAGATGCTGCCACGGCCCACCGGTGGCCTCATCAATCAGTTTGACCGGAAGCTTTTCTCTCACCTCATTGCTCTTGACTATAATAGCCCCAAATTCGCCACCATCTCAATTGACAAAATAACGCGGTTCTTTTCTATGACAACGTTCGAATCAACCGGGGAGCCATTCAAGCACCCCGAGGTCGTCAACTGCATGGCTTTTCCTGAGGAGATTGACTGTGACGATAATTTCGTCCAGTTCCTCAAAAAAAAGGGAGTCCAAACCAGTGCGCAAATTCCCTGGTCATGCCATGCCATGCTGACCCGTCATACAACCCGCTCACATGATTATTTCATCCCTCAGATACACCCGCATACATATTGACTTCAAGTAACCTACAGATTAACCATTACACCGGCCCATCCATACAAGATGTGCGCTTCCACAGGAGATTGTTCTACGCTAACAGTCACGACCAAACCAGGCAGATTGCCTCGCGGGTTCTTTCATGGTGTCAGTCCTGACTTTGAATAATTTCGCAATCCAAACCTGAGCGCGTGTCCAGGTCGAAACAATTTATCCTCCCCGCCGCTCCAGCCGATCCGCTTGAGAAGGCTCGCAACGCCATGCACGGCACTCCCGAATTGAGGGTCTCGTCGATCGTTTCGCAGTCAGTTTCAACACTCGCAGTTCGGGGAAGACTGTTCGCGCTACTCGAACGGAGTCGCACAGTTCACACGGTAGCACCTTTCCTTCCGTGTCGCAAGACCCACCAATGGGCCACCGGTGTAGAAGTCGCAGCCGGACGCAAGTTCACTGTAATGTGATTCATCTCATATACTGTTCCTGATTTAGGGGCTCTTGCTGCTGCCAATTTACTAGATACAGGAAAGGAAAATCGACGACATCCGATGTCCGCCTGTGCGAGCAACCTGGAGTGTTGCAGGATATGGCCCAGAATGACACATCGTCCAAGATGGCTGACATTGATTTGCTCCCAAATGTGCATTGGGGCAGGGCGTTCTTCTGCTACTCATGCTGGTCTCACGGCAGGCTGAGGACTTCCCCGCTATGGCGCTCGGAGCGTGTTGAGCGGCAGCGTCAGGGTCACGCGACGCGTAGTAGTCGTGCTGGGGCTTACGGTCGCAATTTCCTCAATGACCCTGATCTATTTTTTTGGATCCTAAATCATCTGAGAAGCATGTATTCAATGCCCATACCTGTTAATTGGTTTAAACAGGGTAAACACATTTTGCTGTGATCGTGTCTCAGACACTTGATATTTCGCTCATGCGAACAAGAAGGTTGTGCAATTTCAAATGCTGAAGAATCGGTGCTAACCTACGTAAAATACTTCAGGCTATTATCTACAGAAGAAGCCTGGCTCAGCCACTGGCGAGAAGATCTATCATAGCAATCAGACATATCATCCGTGCAAAGTACGCACATCGCAATGCCTATAACTAATCACAATCTTGAGCCTCGGTATCCCCTTCTGGACTGCAGATGCATGACTTGGCACTCACCCTAGGGCGCTCCAATGTTGGTGAAGACTGCCCTTCGTTGGAGCAGACATGCTACTAGTGAAAGAGCCCTCGATGGTCAACGCGTTAGAATTTCGCACTCACTGAGTCCGAACGAGTCCAGCGTGAACGTGCAGGACAAGTTCGACCATCTCCGGATACATTCCACAGTAGTAGTATGGCTCAGATCGTCAAGGTCTTTTACCTAGTCTGGTTGGCGGCGAGACATCAATCAGACTTTCTGCCCCATATGTGAATTACGGTATCCACTTTAACAGGTCGGCTTCCCATGCCCGCTGATTTAGTGATGCTGGAAGTAAATATTGTTTCTAGAATCTTGGGAGAACTGAATAGCAATACTACTAACAGGTTACGGTGAAGCAAGCACTCTGACCGGTGAAAGGACTCGCCGGCAGAGATAGCACGCTCCTTGGACGATCAAGCAAAGCTCAATTGGGCTCTAAGTGTTTCGATTTTCAGATTGACGTATTGGCGATTGACGAGGTAACTACCCACCCGGTGGGTCTTGTCCATTATCGTCGCATCGAAGTAGAATCTAGATGCATCAGCGTAAAGGTAACGCTACAGCGTGCTTCCATTCCGCACGACGCGTTGGCCCGTCTGATAAATTCTAAGGCACCGCCTTAGTTCTCGTACAGTGGCATCTGAGAGATGGCTTAGTTTACGTTCACATTTGAAACTTTCTTCAGCCATAAGCGTGCGCTCTCATTGGTGGAGACGTACTTAGGCGACACTAGGCGCTCGGCTACATACAGGCCCTTCTGTTGAAAACTTGTTTTGACCGGTTCGACTTTTTTAGATGTGTAACTTCACCGTCTCAGAATTCTCAGTTATCTCCCCTCATATGATAAATCGCAGCGCCGGAAGAGTTTTGTTCGCCGAGCACTGCCCAATTGGCAAGAACCGATAATATCAGGGCATGAGATTGAGTGAGGCGTGTCCTCATGAATGTCTCAGCAATCTATTCTACATATGCACATTAACTCAGGTAACTCGTCATGCATACGATTGCCTTAGTGTAATGTGTATCCGACAACACAATTAGGTGCTGAAATTTCGAACTCTGAGTTTATGTAATTGCTGGAAGTAAGTTTGAAAGTTTCGTTCTGTCCTACTTCTTGTAAGTCACTTAAGTACCTAGAATATATATTCCCTCGTCGCTTCATCCATGGATACAGAACAACATTTTGCAGCCAGGCTTGCACATATTAATGGAAAGGTAATCTGGAAGGCTCAATGCTAGATCAAGGCGTGACACGTCTGGGACTGACATTTTAATCCCAGGAAAATGTTGAACACCCAGGATGTGTGAAGTACCCCCACGTTTGCACAGCGATCGGCGGCTACTTGAAGCTGGCTACCAGTTTCTACTGATGAGAGGCACAGGAATTCTGCCAGTCTTGCATTGCTTGCCCGTAACTCGCTATTGGTTATCTTTCTGTGTCGAGTAAGTATGGTCCAACTAATCCACATCCAGTAGAAGGCGCGGAACTCTTTTTGCTGCTCCTGCGGGCAAGATACTCGATCTCTTCCTCAAAGGCAGTGGCTGGTGTGTTCCTGAACTATGATAGCGATGGGCGGTGGGAAGTCGCTTTGGATGTGTCCATGTCATTGTTCGCACAGCCATGTTATCTGCAACAATCAATTACGTTCACGCTCGGGGCTTCCCGTGATGTTGAAGCGTGCGTTCTCTGTGGACTATTTCAAAACGAGCGCTGCATGAGCTGACGCTGACTGGCACTTTGAAGGCTTCTGAGGAAATAACAGTCCCGTGGGGTTTCATAATCGGCTACCAAGGATGCAGTAAAAAATCTCCATAAGAACCCCCTTCAAATACACCCGTGGTACACTCTGCCCTATCAATACAACTAGTGCCCATTGCTCATGCGCGGTACAATGAGTAAGCTCGATGGCTCGTGAGTCGTGATGCCTTTTGCTCACCATTCTTCCAGAGATCCGATTGTCCTTACTGTTACTCGCATTTCTCCGAGGGGCGCACGCAGCCACCAACTTCACCGATTGCTTCATCAACTTCAGAGATCATGCGAACCAGACCCTCGATGCATCTGGATTAGTGGATGCCAATGGCGGAAATGTAGCAAATGTGTCGTCGGATATCATGAACGCTAGCGGATTCACCTATGAGACGTGTCTTTCGCAGTGCGGCTCGGGAACGCAGCAGCCCTCCTGGGCAAACATTTCGCAGCAATTCGGTGCATGGCTGTTGCCCTACCTTGCGCTCATTTCCCAGCTACCTTTCGGTGCAAGACATAGGGTTGACAATCTCATGTCGGCCATCCTCACAGTCGGTTCACCGGTGCTCGCGGGTTACTCAATGATTATCACCATTCTCAACGCCAGGTGGATCAGCCGTCGATTCGAGAACCTGTCATTCCCTAACACCGGAGACGCCGTCCGCATACTTATAAGCCTTCAACAAAATCCACTGAGAATAACAAATGACGACTCGCTCCTCAGCTCTCTCGTCGTACTACCGGAGAATGATGACTGGTGGCCAACAATTGCCGATTTTCTCGACTACACTCACACCTGGTCCATCGCGTCTGCGACATCCATTGCCTGGGTCATCATCGCCTATCTATTGACAGTCGCCAGCTCATTATCGGATGTACGCTCCAATATCAACTCCAATGGTCAGGGGACGGGATCAGTGTGGTTGTGGCTTATACCAATTGTTATTGGTTGGCTGCAGCTATCCCCAAAGTGCGACTACGCACGCGTTAAAAAGGCCATGGACAACGCAGATGTGATATCATTTGTGGTCACCTGTGATGGAGTTGTAAAGGCATCAGACCTTTCCGAAAGACGAGCAGTATCCATTGACGCCAATGCGGAAAATCTTTCATCTCCCGATGAAAATTTAACTCCACCCGTCTTTAACTACGCCAGGGCCATTCCATGGTCTCGGTCGGCGGAGGATGTCCTCGATGCTTTTCGAATGGCCTCCAACAATGTTAAAGAGCACAGACCGGTTAAGATGGGTGATATATGGAAGAACGCAAGCAGGAGGAATGTTATCGAGCCCTGCAACAGGTCCGGAGACCCATCCCAAGTTGATGCCTACTGCAGACTTCCTCGATACGCCGTACGCAGCCCCTGGGCGTCAGGCATGTTCTTTCGCATGTTTTTTGCCTCGGTGTTACCCCTGGCTTTGCAATGGGCAACAACTGGAGCTGCGGTGCTGGTTGTGTATTATACTCCAACTGTGGTAAGCATTGTTCAATGCACTTGCCTGCACCTGTCACTGATAAGCAGGACGTTATGACAGGGCCTTGGATGTAGATCTCTCGGTTACCTCATCTATGGCGCACTTGCCACGATGGTATGGATGATGCTCGTGATGTCGAGCGTCCTTTCGCACTACACATTCTCATACTCAGACAGACCTAAGAGTCCTTCCTCCTCTATCATGATGCGTCTCGCAAAGGTACTATCGAACCTTTTGAGATGGGGCGGGAAATTCCTGGCAATCGTCAATGCAATCTGGATAATCGCAGCCGGGATGCTGCAGTTTACGAGTATCTATGATAATTGTTACTGCGACTCGAGTGTGTTGGGGAGAGGGGTCCAACATGCATTCGACATCGTTGTGACCGATAATTTAGACTTAAGTCAAACTAAAGCTGCTTGGTTCGGAGCGTTGGCTCTGGCTTGCTCTTTCTCTTTTGGATTTATTTTTTTCATGAGTTTATTAACCGATCTTGTACCTATGTGAAGTCTGGCATGATGATGCACTTGTAATACTAGATCATCATGTTTAGAAGTTTAACGATTACCTAGTGTACCTTTGTAATACTGTTCGCACTCAACGTTAACGTTCAACGTTGCAACGCTTGTACGCGACACGCCCTACTAGTCCAATAAGACTTTATAATCGTACTACGGCGCTCGGTCGTGCCAGTCTCGACTCCTGTTCGAATCACCTTGCAAGACCAAAAATGCGACAATTTTCTGTGATCTGGCATCTTCCCAGTGGTGTGCAGATGCACTGAATGTATTCTCTGGTAATATTTGAGTCATGTAAGCGATTTTCCATACAGTATCTTCGGTACTAACGAGACATGTTGAAATATTCAAAAGAATATGATTTAGGAGCAGGTTTAACAATGCTACATGATAAGGTTTAGCGCTGATACTACATTGAAGGGTTTAGGGATACTGCTACATAAAAAGGTTTAGGTAGCTACTGTGTAGTGAGGATTAGGACGAGGACACTCTGCGAAAGGTTTAGAACTTCTCCCATGCGAAGGTTTAGCCGAGCGGTGTTGGACAAATTAGGAAAGGTTTAGGGTCCATGTAGGTAACTTACGAAAGGATGACCGTAAGGTCAAGTGCACAGCGACAACGACATTTTAGAATTGAGCATCCCTTTTGCTGCCTCTGCACTTCGTGAGAGTCGGGGAAGGTCAACTATCTTCCTTCTATAGTCCCCCGGAGTCCCGTAGGTATATCAGAGGCTATTCCCAGCACTCCAGTAGCAGCGCCTTTCTCGACAGACACAGGAACCCATCGCGGGTCGCACCCATCAATGCATCATAAGGTGGGCCTTAACATTGTTATCTCAGGATGTCACTCTGATGATCCCCTGGAACTTCGGAAACCACCGAAAAAAGCGATGATTGCGGTACACGTCCAGATAAGGCTTCAGTAGCTTCAAGCGACAGTGATCTTTCTGGTGAGAAGTTTTCAATGTAAGCATTATTAAAGGCAGCGACAACCGGTTCATATAGTACTACTTATAATCTACCTTGCATAACTGATACAGCTACATCACGATGCGCTTGCTCAAAGGCTCTCTGGCATGTATGTGCAATGAGTAGACTTAGAATTTCTGTTTTCTCATGCATTCTTTCGAATAGGTCTCTTGCTACTGGTGCACGCTGTCGCTGGAGTAAACTTTACTCAGTGTCTGAGTGACATGGTGAAGAATGCAATTGCTACCCAAAATCTTTCTGGTTTACTCGACGGCGACGGAGGTCCCGCGTTGAGTGTTGCTGATGCGGCAGCGATAAGCTATTCGACGTGCGTCTCCCGCTGTGGGGCCGGGCAGGAACCTTTCCAGTGGTCTGTATTTTCGCAAGAATTCAGCGCGTGGCTACTGCCAAATCTCGCACTGATTTCGCAGCTCCCCTTTGGGGCACAGTACAGGCTTGACAATCTCATGTCTGCTGTACTAACTGTTGGGTCACCAGCGCTTGCTGGTTATTCTATATTCATCACCCTCCTCAATTCTCGCTGGATCAACCGCCGATTTAATCACTCGGTGGACTATCCTAATTCACGTTTCGCGGTCTTGATTCTGAGCAGCCTTCAGCAAGTCCCGCTAAGACTGCATCCTGACCATGCACGCTTACCCTCGTTCATTGTCCTTCCGGAGAACGACTCCTGGTGGAAATGTTTTGCTGAATTTGTGGACTACACCCATACGTGGTCAATTGCATCTGCGACCTCCATCGCCTGGGTTGTTGTTGCCTATATCCTGACTGTAGTCAACTCCCTATCGGATGTTTACGCAAATGTTCAATCCAATGGAGAAGCCACTGGTTCAGTGTGGCTGTGGCTGATTCCAATAGTCGTTGGATGGCTGCAACTCTCCCCAAAATGCGATTTCAATCGCTTGCAAGCAGCTTATGACCGTGCCGACCGACACAGTACACACACTGGCCCGAAGGATGTTCATATGGAAATGTTACCCGCGTCCTCTCGGAGAGCTTTAGCAATCACTGCTAAGGAGGAGGATGTGACGTCTCCAGACGAACTCCTCACCCCTCCTGTGTTTAATTACTCTCGTTCGCTGCGATGGGCATCTACAGCAGATACTATCTTCCTGGTATTCAAAGGGGCATCGGAGAAGGCTCAAAGTCATCTTCCGGTTTGTTTTGGGAGTGAGTGGGTCGAACACCACACGACCAACGACATTGACCACAGAAACCGACTTGGGTCCCCCCAAGATATCGTCATGTACTGCGCGCAGCCCGGCAAGGTACAGCGCAGCCATTGGGCACCTGGCGTGTTCACAAGAATGGCTATCGCTTCTTGCGCCTCACTTACATTACAATGGGGAACGGTCGGAGCAGCATTTATGGTCGGGTGGTTCACTCCTACGACAGTGGGTTTTTTGTATGTCTGATATGTGATTGAGTTAACTAACGTCAGGCAGCAAATTGGATGTCGAGCTCTGGGATATCTCCTTTACGGAGCCATATCTACTTTGATTTGGTTCATGCTCCTGCTGTCAAGTATTCTCGCCCATTACTCCACAACTTGTTCCCATCGGCCATCGCTATCTTCACGTGTTGCTTTGGCAATGTCGCACTGCCTGCGATGGGTGGGCAAACTCTTTGCTATTATAAACTTTATTCTGGTGGTCTTGGCATGTACTTTCCAGTATTCCAGCTTTTACGATAGATGTTTCTGCAATTCCAGCGTATTCAGCAGGGGAAGTGGGGCATATGCTGTGATCATCGAAACCACAGCCCAAGCTGCACAGGCTAAGGCTGCCTGGATCGGTGCCCTTGTCATGGCGTGTACCTCAGCATTAGTTTTCATTGGTCTCGTGAATCTTTTATTGGACACTCTTCCGTCGTAGAAGTAACGTTTGTTGTAAAGTATGTATCTGTATAATATTATATTTTTGACCCATCTGGTTTCTGGAAGTTCGGACATCATCAACTTGAAGCCACCTACAAGTTACAACAGTGCGCCTTCAACGTGACCGCATCACCGAAGGTCCAAAAATCTGATAGGCTGCCCACCTCTCAGCACTGCGTCCGTGCCCTCTACATAATCTGTTATAAGTACCAACTTTCTCGCTAAGCTCACTGTCACGAACTCACGGTATCTTTGACAATCGCGCTTTCGACAACTCCTTCAAAGCTGCCGCAGTGCGCTGCTATCATAACCATCAGTGCATTCCCTGCACCTGCCGTATCAAGCAGTGACTAGCAAATCAACACCATTGATGTTCACAAAACTTCGTAACCCTAACCGGCAGCGACATCAACATCAAGACAAACCAAGTTGCTCCGATCTCTTCGTCTGGACATGCTCTGCTGAAGTTTGGCTTTGGCTGCTAAGTAGCACGGCTCCGAACCACAGCCCAAGTTATGCATCCTAGTAAGGTTGCCCGGATGACACAACATAGCCGCGCAATAGCGCTTTCAACGTTCCAACTTTGATCAAGTCACAAATTTGACTGATTCTTTCATGAGCTGTGAATATAAATGCGCGATTAGCAGCGTCCACCCTATCAATTAGGTCACTGATGGGAATGCAGAGCCAAATAATCTAAATAGTATGAAGTCCGCAATAAGTCCGTGATATGATGGTAAACGACTTCCCCAACAGGTGTCCATGTCCAGCGACGATCTACAATGAACCAACCACGGCGATAGCAATAGTATACTATGTCATGAAGTGAAACAACAAACATTATGTATAGGATAAAAAGATCAGTACATATAAAGAACGCGGTCATCTGATGTTACATCGGGTTAGACGGAGTTGGCCCATTAGCGTGATCAAGATGCAAAGGAACTCGTATACCTACATTGATCACAGCATGCTGCACGAATGCTGTACAACAAGTGATAACCACAGATACGGATGGGCGTAGGGGCCATCACTGTCGCGGGGTATAATCACCCCCTGTAACAACAGGATCATTCTGCCCAAGTGGGCTAGGTCGCGTGGGCTGTACAACAGAGCCCCCAGCGAGGCCCGCAGCCTCTAGTAATGCAATTTGAGATACATTTGACAGCTCTCTAGTTTGAGGCTCCGATTCGTCGTGCCCAGGTAAGTCGCGATGGGAAGATGATATGGAATTTTGAGAGTAATGGGCGCCCGATGACGAAGGGCCCATGACGTCATCAATGATGTGGCCCAAGTCGATTTCGGGACCGCGCACCAAAGGGTCTATGAGTTTGCCGCGCTCGCTATCATTAAGCGATCCTGCACTATTGCGCGGATCCCAGGGGGTATCGTAGTCGGAGTATCTTCCTGGAGAGGGACGTGCGAGAACAACATCATCGAGGTCCTCGCCCATGAGCAGCGTTTCTCTGGCACGGGCTTGTCGTCGGCGCAAGTTTATGGTGTCGAGGAAGTGGAAGTGTTTGAAACGCCGACGTTGGCGGTAGAAAAAGACGGAGAGACTGATGACGAGGAGCACACCGGCGCCGATGACGGAGCCAGCGACAATGGCAGTGCGATCGCCAGCGGCGCTGTTGGTTGTTGGGGCACTGATGACCGTAGGGATAACCGTTGGGATAATAGTTTGGGACTGATGATATGTGAGAGGGTGTGGGGCTAAAACGCAAGGTACATACTGTGACGGGAGACGAATTAATGACTGTCACAAAAGATGAGGTGATGTACGAGGTGATGTAGGATATTGTCTGGTCTCCGTACGTGGAAGTTGGAGTCGTAGAAGTCGGGCTGTCGGTAAGGAGAGGTAGTGGTGACGGGGAACTTGAGGAAGGGGATGAAGATGATGTAGACGGTGCTGTGGAGGTAGACGACTGAGATGTAGACGGTGCTGTGGAAGTAGACGGCTGAGATGTAGAACTTGAAGTTTCTGTAGCTGGACTTGTAGAAGGAATGTCGGACGTGGATGTTGTTGACTCAGGCTGAGATGACCTAAGAGTAATTTTTCGTTAGCAGACTTAAGACGCCTCGCAAAAAATGTGCAAATGCCTACGTTGTAGCAGAAGAAATCGTACTGACATCAAGAGAGGTCGTCGCTTGAGTCGGAGGCAATGAACTACTTGATGAACTACTTGATGGTACCGGGGAATTGGTGGTACTAGTAGCTACCGAGCTACCGAGCAAGGTGGTGGATGACGCTGTGGTCGCTATCGTGGATGCCTGCATTCAGGATGAATACTGCGCAAGATGATACAAGTGTATAGGGAAATTGGACTTGGACTCCCAGTCCGAAGCACATACAGCCAATGGCTTATAATATAACTTGGACACGCACCTGAGTGTCTGTGAAGGATAGCGTGGGTGTGTTGGTCGAGGAAGTGCTAGATTGCACGGCGGCGTTGGACGAAGCAGAGTCGGCAGCGGTTGTCGATGGCGACGACTGCCGCGGATTAAAGAGAAGGAGGTCGCGCCCAGGCATGCGAGTTCGCCAAGTTTGTAATATCGCCAAGGTCGCCTTCTCAGACTCTGAAACAGTTTATGCTGCAAGGTACATGCGAGCATTGAATTTGACAGTGGGAAACAAATATCTTTGTCGTACCGCTAAATTCAGAAAGGGCGTCTATTTATCTTTCCCTGATTGGAGATTGGCTGAGTGCACGCTAAGTATACAAGTGTGACCACACTTAGTAGCCTTGGCCTCCACGGTGCTGGCACGAATGACGGGACGCTCAATCGAACGTGAACGAGTTTCCGCATTCTATTTCAAAACCGCATATTCCGGCCAGCTATGTTTCTCCGCAGCGACTTAACTCTCACTTTATTACATTACCCAGACGTTTCCGCCTTTTTTTACCTTCCTTTCCATTTCCTCAGCAAATCTCCCACCCGAGCCATTCACAGTGCTGGGTGAGTGCTTGATTACCCCGCCAGGTCTTGCAGCGTGTCCGAAGGCCAGCGCGATCGATGAAGGCCGTCAGTTGGATGCCCCGCAGTGTGCGCGGTGCCCTTTCTTGGACATTCAGACCGGAAGAGTATGTCCTCCTCACGGCCTCTCCCTCAGCAACACGAGCTACCGTCTACCGCCGTCGACATGGTTGCTCATGGCGTGGCTTCCTCCGCATGTTCACCTTGCGAAGAGTCCTGGTCTCCGTCACCCTCGTCCCTGTATTCCTATTACTCGCCATTATCTGTCAGGGCGTACCACCAAACTATGACGATATCAGGATGTTCCAGCAACGGCTCCCTCAGCACTCCCTGTCCGTGACACCCGCACATCAGCCGCAGTACATACGATTTCCAGGACACCTATGGGGTTTCGGGTTTAATAATGTTCTTCAAGAAGCGTGCGTACTGTTGTTCTGGTCATGTCTAATGAGTGGCTAATCGCTCTGATCAGAATTTTAATGTCTTACCTCGCCCACGTATCCAATCTATCATTTGTCTTCGAGGACTACACATGGTCACATTTACCACTTCCATGGACAATTTACGACTTCGCTCTGCGTCCCGCACGTATACCCTTGAACGCCCTCATCTCTGGACCAACAGCAGGAGGGCCAATGCCTAGCGCACCGAATGCACCCCGTGCAGTGAGCGCCGAGTTCTACGCGCACGTCTGTGGAGGACCTGAAAGTCGCAGACACGTTATCAGCTCTCTAAATGCACCTAATGATGCAGACGGCGTTGTCATGATCGACTGGTGGGTAGATCAGCTCGCGTCCGTGCAAGAGCCATGCATAGAAATAGATTCGTCTGCCCACGATGTCTTTGACAGACAGTGAGTCCTCTCCAACCAACTGCCAAGACTGCTTTACTGACGGAAACGACACGACAAGTTTTTTCGGAAACCCGCGGATTCTGTCTTTGTGGGAATCCTTGATTAAGTCGCCTATGTTGACTGACTTCGCTTGGTCACCGCTTGTGCAAGCGGCCGTTTCGCGTAATTTTGCGCTCCTCCAACCCGAGTCCGCTAAAGATCTCTATGACGCACATTCCCGTAAATCTCTCGCTGGGCTAGTCGCGCTGCATCTCCGCAGAGGCGATTACAAACGACACTGCCCGAACCTCGCAGAGTGGGGCGCAGATTATATGGGTATAAATCAGCATCAGTCGCTCCCAGATCGATTTGACCGATCTCCGTATGTTAACGATACGGATGCAAGGCTGTCGTACTATCTCGATCATTGCTGGCCGTCGACGGAGCAGGTTGTGGAAAGGCTAAGGGAGGTTCGGAATGAGTATCCTGGGCTAAGACGGGTGTATGTGCTCTCAAACGAATGGGCGTGGAGTCTTGATGGGCTCAAGAGCGCGCTTGAGGAGGATGGATGGGACGACTTGGTGAGCAGTGCTGATATCGTGCTCGATTCGGAGCAAAAATATGTGGCGATGGCGGTGGACATGGCGATTGCGGAGAAGGCTGAAGTTTTCATTGGGAACGGGGTAAGTTCTTCTATGCGGGCTGTGTTCACAGACGTTTAACTTACCTGCTGTAGTTCTCGAGCCTATCGTCCAATGTGGTAATGCTAAGGATGGCGAAGGGAATGGAGGGGCAGAGCAATCGGTTTTTGTGATAGATATAATGGACATATAACTTAGTACTATACCCCGGAACATTAGGCAAAGAGCGAACAGCAGAGGTGTTCGTAGGGAATATGGACAGTGAATACATGCAGACGTGCAAAATTGAAGACTCAGATAAGCGTCTTGGGGGCCGTTTGTCGCATCAACGACAGTGCCTTGATATCACAGCGAGATCGGATTAAAAATGCTGAACATACTGGTTTTCATCCAGGAGTACGACAGAGGAGACGTTAACATGGGGAGGCAGCGGTGGATGAGCTCAAGACAGAGAAGCTACTTAATAAGAATAAGTAGTGAAGCAAAATGAAGTGGTCGGATCCCAGGCGGCCCGAATGTCGATTACATAAGCACATTTACTCATTCAAGATGACCGTATCGGTTTTGATGAGCACTACTGTAATACAGGCTATACTGTCATAGTGATGCATAAAAACAGGCTAAGTAGCAGATTTTGATGATGCATTTACTATGCTAGAGAGCAGTGTGCATCAACCTCATCTCAGTTGGGAAAGTGATACATCATCCTCCTGCAGGAACTTCCCCACAACACCCAAAACATAGCCAATTTTGGGTATTCCCCACAATATCAACCTTTCCCACGCCCTCCCCATCCATCCCTGGCTCACCACCACACCACAATTAGATATAGCTTGTAGTTAAGTAGTAGTATATGTTATATACACATAAAAGAACATAATAGACCACTTTTTCTTTTTCTTTTTGCACCAATATTTTCCACACCACCTCTACCCATGAAATAAAGTGTAGGAAAGGTTCTTTGGTGTCAGCTAGGTGTACTTGGCTGCAGCCTCAGACTGAGTTGCAGACAGATACCAACATAGAAGGAGATTCAATGCTAGAGATGGAGGGCAGCTTGGGGCAGCAGGCTTTCATCAAGGCTGGAATGAAAAGAGCAAAGCCTGTAGGAGAAACAGAGGAAAAGAATTGGGAGCGTCTTTTCCAGGCTGTATACTATCACATGTGCGAGCTGCTCAAGGAGCAAATCCAAGAGCACAATGCTGATGGATCACAGCGCTCATCATCACAGTGCTTGCACATTTTGCCCTTCACAGAGATGGCAGATCTCCGGTACTGGTCTTCAAAATTCACTACCAATCCCATGTCAGACACTACCAATTTGTGGAAGCCTGATCTCATCCTCCTGGATTACAGGCTCAGAAAGTCCAGTTTATTGGAAAAGTCCTGGAAAGACATCCTCACAGGAGTTGAGATCACCCAATCTGACCTCTCTGTTGATCGCAAAATACCTTTGTTCTTGGGGGTTGCTAACAAGGGTTATCTGATGATGTGGGAGCCACTGTGGCATCATTTTATCCTACTTTTCAGTATCTCTAAGTTCAAACTTCATGCTCATTATATGGATCGCTCCAGCATGGTGATCTCAAAACCACTTCTGATCGTTACATCCCCTGTATGTTTTGTCAACATGTTAAATACCATCACTTTAGCAAATTGCTCTTCCCTCGGCTTTGATCCAACAATCCATATCTGCAACTCTTGCAACACCATTCCAAATCATGCTAATTTACTGAGTGGCTTTGATGCCATGCTTCCTGGGGTGATAGGTTGAGTTTATGACAACAATGAGAATGTGTACTGGATCATGGATATTCTATGGAAAAGCCACGAACTTTTCAAGTGTGGAACCATCTGCAATCACATTCAAGACAAGTTTAATCAGGAGTACACACTGAAGGATTGTTGGGTTGATGAGGATGTCAAAGATGTTGAGATATGGCTTCTCAAAGCAGTCAAAGGCATCCCGAACATGGTTCAACTTAGGAAATATTGGGATGTGCTTTATGATGGGCAGCCTGACTCCACATCACATAGTCATAGTCATTGCTTGACATTCAAATTCAAGAAAAAAATTCATTGGTGTATTCTCTTGACACCCTGTGGGCTCCCATTGACGCACTTCAATGATGTACCTGAGTTAATCGGGGTTTTTGTGACCTTGTCATTGGTGAGTTCCTTTCACAATCACCCAAAGTCCTCTGTAATGACCATGAGTTATAGCCCACAAAGCAATGGTGGGCCGATGTGTTCTTTATGGAGACCTCAGCCCTAATATTGTTATTATTTACAGAGGAAAAGGCTATTTTATAGACTTTGACCATGCAAATTTTCTCAATGATGATGGAAAAGTGGACATGAGTCTATGTGGTACTGTGCATTATAATGTCACAATTATTTCTGCTTGCATTAACCTCATGGTTTATAGGGAACTGTACCATACATATCCTTTCGCATTCTCTGCCTAATGGGAGATGGCCTTTTGGTCGAACATACACCCTGCAACAATCTCAAGTCACTCTTTTACATCCTGCTCAAATTCACTGTGATGTATCTAGGACCAAAAGGTGCACTGGCCCCCTGACCTAGCAAAGAAGCTTTGTGACGGGACACCATTTGGAGGTGGGGGCTTGCCTATGAGAGCATGACCCGTGATGGTCTCACGACTAGCAGTATGTGGAAGCAGGAATTCATCCATGGTCTGGCTGACCCACCATTAATCACCCCATACTTTATCCTCTGCCACCCCCTCCTTGAAGAGTGGCATTGTGTGATCTCTCTTGCAAGCACTCAGTCAATTACCCTGTCTCACAATAAAATCTGCGATATTCTAACATGGGGCTTAAGTATGATCAGTCAGCAACTTGCCCAGATACCTCCTCCTGCACCTCCATCTGCACCAGAACCAACCATTGCTCCATTGCCTCCTCCTGCATCTACATCACAGCAGGTTGCAACCATCGCTGTATCGCAGACAGGTAGCTTACTAGTGCGAAGTGCATGGAGAAAGATGATATCACAAATGGATGATGGACAAACTAATTATGAGCAGAAGCATACATTTGTGAACTAGCACAGTACAGTTTGACTATGGTGTGAAGTTATACAATGAGCACAAATACATTGAATGATCTGGACAAAGCATGAGGGCGCTAAGGTATGACGCGCTAAGTACCGAACATATAGTGATGGTGACAGGAGATATATGAGACTAAGACAAGGTTAAGGGTTAGAAGACATGGAAGGTCTGGATTCAGGTGCCTGTGTGCAATGCTTAATCTGAGTGTCAGGTGGAACACCACAAAGAAGGAGTTTGGTAGTGGCTCTGATGCGAAAGCAGTGGCCGGAAAGTACAGGGAGATCTGAAGACTTCCAGATGTTGTTGCAGTGAGTGAGGAACCACAATTTCGTCATAGGGGACCAGCCCTGTTTGGTTTCAAAAGCAAAAAGAGGAGTGTGGCTGGGAACAGAAATGTTGGCTGACAAATGGTGAATGAGAGTGTTGTGAGGATTGGTAATATCATTGATCTTGGTGGCAATGATATCCTCTCCGTCCATGTGCACAGTTTTGGACCATGGTATGTGGAAGATGGCATACTGGATGTTAGAGGACATTGAGAACTTGCGAATGTCAACCAACTGGGAGATGTGATGAGAAGAGTTGAAAAAGTTTAAGGATGGAATAACTAATTTGCCAAGCCTGCACAAGAGGTGAGGCGAGTGTAGTGAGTAAAGAGTGAAACAATGTACCTGCAGCAGCTCCAAAAAGCAATGCATGCTACACAGTAGACAGCAGAGTCGAAGGAGTTTGAGAGATCAAGAGAATGATACAGCACGTGCATGTGGTTGATGGAAATGGGAGGTCTGCGAGGCCATTTGGAAGAAGTGGGAACCACTTTCGCCAACCTAGCTTTCGTTCGTCTCAAGAGTGAATGACTGTGCCAAGGGGCACCATTGTACTGATGCCAAAAATGGAGACCTGCTAGCCAATTGTCAGCCATAGTTTCGGTGACTTTGCCAGCCCAAGAAGCGATGAAGGCAGTGAGAAGGTATTCTAATGCAGGTAAACAATGATTTTCTGGGATGGAAATAGAGTTGCAAAACTAATGGAAGCGAAGAAGACCTGCACCATAGTTTTCTCTGGTTTTTATTTTGACGGACAGTAACATGACATCGAGGAGATAGGAAGCTGTGTTAATGGGTAGTGAGCCAAGAAGAGTTGCATGGAAGGAATCTGACTGGGGTGCTGACCAAAGCTTCAGACGGTTGTGAGCAAGAACGTGAGGATGGAAGGAAGAAGGTGTGAGAGAATTAACAGGAAGTGGTTTGCGAGGTTTGCGAATCTTGTGAACAGCCAAAGGCAGCACCCCTAATGCCGGATTCTTCTTCAAAGATTCACGGAGTAGGGCAATAGCTGTCACTATACTGGCATCTGCCAGATCAATGGTAAGGTCACTGGACATGAGGTTGAATGAAGGGGGTCAGCTCATCAGGCAGCTGAAAGGCGGGGAGACGACAGATGGCTGGGCTGGTTTTGCCACATGAAACCAAGTCCGCTTTGTTAGCCAGTGACTCCATGTAAGAGAGAATGTGCAAAGTGTTCGAGGCCATGGCGATGGCTTTGATGCGCCTGATACAGAGGTTTACCTGGAAATTTTGATTGTGACCGCACTTGAAGGCTCCTATGACGCCTTGGTTGTCAGAGTGGATTATGATAGAGCAGTTTCTCCACCCGCTAGTGTGCAGAGTCATGACTGCGAGTTCGACCACGACGGCCTCAAGCCATCCAATGTCTCTGCTGTGACCTTTTCAGCCGGTGATGTTCATCCAGGCATCCCATTTGTTGCCCCAGATTAGGCCTATGCCCCAATCGGTTGAGGCGTCCACCCAGATATTTGATATCTTGAGGTGAACTGGGAGGAGTAAGAGACCTTGGTGGTGGTTTGATGGCTAAGGTGTCATGCCACCAAGTCAGGTCACCTTTAACTGAGGGAGGAGGGTCTCGAGATATGAAGTTGTTGTGATATTGTGCGATAAAGCAAGACAGATTCACGAGGTAGGTTCTACTGTGTGGAATGATGAAGGTGACGTGTGATAACATGCTGTGGATGCTGAGGGCATCTTTGTGACTGACGAGTTTGCCTCTGAGGATTGCATCGAGCATGTGGTTGACCTTCGCTAAGTACTTGAGTCTCTTTGCTTCTGGGAGTGAGACCAAGCACACTAGAAGATCCCACAGAAACCCTAAGTATGTAAAAAAATATGTGAAATCTGTACATTTCTTTGAGTGCCATGGAATGCCAAGAGGGAGTGTCTTTGTGTAGATATCTGCAAGTCCGAAGAGGAAAAGGTAGGGTGTGGTGCTGCCATCTGAGCACAGGTATCCCCTGCCGACTGGGAAGCGAAAGATAGAGTGATTTTTGACCCACTTCTTGATCGGGGAGATGTCCATGCAATGGAGGATGTCTACTGTCGCATCAGTGACGTTGCCTTGAACATCGCCAGTGGTTGTGAGGCCAAAAGGAAAAATGTGATTGATCCAGAACTGACCGTCAAAACTGACAATGAGAAATCTCTTATGTGGAGGCCATACTGGCACTGTATGGTATGCAGCTTTGATGTCCATGGTAGCAGCTTGCATACCAGGGGGGGCTGTGGCTACCTGAAACTAGAATCAACACTGGTGTGCGAAAGAGGCAACACAAGATGCAACACGGGTGCAGTATGCAAAGGGCACTGCATGTTGGGACAAGGCACAAAGAGGTGTGAAACACGAAAGAGGTGTGAGGGGAGCAGAACATGAAAGAGGCGCTGCATGCGAGAAAGCACAAAAGGGTGCTGAGCGCAAAAGAGGCGCAAACGAGGCACAAAAGGGTGCGTGGCGCAAAAGGGCGCTTGGACATGCGCATATATGCACTTGAAAGCAGAAGAACTTACTATTTCTGCAACTTGTGCAGCAGTGCCCCACTCAGTAGGAAAGTCTTCTGCGTCTAAGTAGTTGTTTACTGAGTACCTGTCCTCCTTGTTGTGGTAAGACAAGTTGCAGATAATTCTGAACTTGCTGGGCTTGCTGGCTTTCTCTACTAAGCCCAAAGGGCAGGATACGAAACAACTGCTGAGTTCATGTTCCACTTGATTGGTGGAGAACGGACCAGACATGCAATTAAGAGAAACTTTGTCTGTGAGGTAGTCTCGAATGACTTGTGGGTTATCTATGGTGGACTTGTGGTTGGGTGGGGTGTAAGTGTGAGAGAGAAAGGGCATGTCTCTGATCGGGAAACCATTGCAAATGTTTGAGATGAGATCTGGGTAGCGAGAAGTAAGGTCAAACTTTGCTAAGTAATGTTCAAAGGCGTCAGCTTTGTAAGGTGTGATGACACAATACAGAGACTCTCTAGCATGAACGAGCGATGGCTGCATGAGACTTGCTACCACAGACAGAACAGATGTGAATGACGTTGTCTCCATGTCTTGCTTTGATACAATGACTGATGTTGTAGGAGATACAGACGATGGCTGATGATGACTTGAGGATGAGTTTCTCTTGCCATTGACAGATGGGCTGCACGTTCTTGATGGTGAGTGTGTGAGTACAGTCACTGGCCATGTGTCTGTTCCAACCACAGATGAGGCAAAGGGGTCCATTGAAGGAGGCCCCTTTGCCTTTCTGAAAGGACTTGTTTGCATCAGCGCTAGAAGAAGTGTTGGTGCTGTCTGTCCTGGGTTTGGCCTGTGGGTAGTGTTGGTACTGATTTGAACCGCTACCACCTGACTCGAAGCGAGTGGCTAAAGCTGTAAGGCGAGCAACTTCTTTGCTAGCATTGGCTGTGGACTCTTTGGTTTTCATATGGGATACCATCGTGAGAGTGTCGTCCCAGCGACACTCATATGCAGCTTCTGAGAGGAAGGTTTTCGTGTTGAAGAAAAGGCACCTTGTTTCAATGTCAAAGGCTGTAATGGTGTTGAAGTGGTCAGTGAAATGTCTATGTGCAAGACAGAATTGACAGTGCACTGTAAACTTCTCGATAACAGTGGGACCTGCAATGATATTGAGGAGCTCCAGGAAGTTCTCTGAGGCTTCATAAAATTCCCCTGGGGTAAGGGTAGACTTGGCTGGGAAAGTAGATGTGTCAAGGACGGACTTCTTTAAGTCACTGAGCATGAGGCCTTTCTTCATGGTAATACATGAGGGATCAGTGTGCATCCTCTTGATGGTGGTGGCCATCAAAAGTGTAAGCAGCATGTGAAGGCTGGAGTTAGCCAGATTAATGACTACCTGCGGGATTTCATAAACGTTATCAAAAGACAATGCGATCTTTATATGCGTGTCTTCATATGCTTGACCTGATGAAGCTGTGGATCCTTGAGCTACTGGAGCAGTGGAAGGTGCGGTTCCTCCAACAATGGGTTGTGCGACAGCCCTTGAAGTCGGAGTAAGAGCATTGAAGTCTCGTACTAAGTTGATAAGCGGGGTGTTAGTGTTGACTGGGTTAGGGTCGGGCAAGGTTCTCTGTTGCTCTGCTGGCACATCAAGGGCTTCTTCATCTTCGGAGACTTTGTCAGAGGTTGCATGACGTCTATCAGCACATTCCTCATTATGTGCTTGACACACCTTGTTCTCGCGTATGATGTCACCACATGAGGTAAGAACCGTTACATGGCCTCATCTGCTGGAGTTACCCACAGAATTGGCCAATCTTCCAGTGTTCCCACCTTCGCTACCCCCATTAGGGTTAAGGGTTGAGGTATCTTTCCCCCCTACACCTGCAGGAAGCCTAGGGATTGATGTGTTGTTAGTCATCATATGCATCTGAATAAAATAGTGATATTGAGGGACTAGGACTGTCAAGCACTCCACTAAAAGAAAAGTGACGAGCAAACACGAGGAGAAAAGATAAGGACATGTTGATGGGATGCACGTCAGGAGAACATGTTTGGCTCGCTTAGTAAGCACTTGTTTGTGCCTGTTGTTCACGAGCTCACAGCAGGCTCAAATGGCACCCTCCTATACCACCATCTGTGCCTGCAAGTGTGCCAACTGTTGCCCAGTCACTTCCTGATCTTCCCTTAGCTGTTTGTTGGCCTTGTTGTTCAAAGCTGGCACCTATCAAACACTAGTTGGCTGGTTTGGTTTTTCTCTCATTGTATACATATCTGTAGAGTATACCCCACAACACACACTCACTACATCCAATATCTCATGTTTATTCTTTGTTTAACACCCCACAAACGTGAGCTCTACCTACATGTAGTGCTTTGTATAATGTACACTTCCTAGTTTACATAAGTCCCTGCAGTTATATTTTGGGACGTCGCCCAACCTCCAACTTTGTCAAGTTCTATCCATGCATCCAAAGAAGAAAGCCAGGCACACTTCTCCCAAATGGTCCTTGAACAATTTGAGGACAAGGAAAATTGCTGATACAGCACATGAAGACACTGATGGTTCTCGACAGCAAAGAGAATTGTCCACACGAGGTGTTGGTGGTCATGCAGCACAGCTCAAAAAAAACTGGAGAGATCTTAGTGGCCCTGGCAAGGCAACAGGAGGGAAGACATATTGTCAAAATAAGTGACTCAGAAGTCAATCCCATGGCACCTTCACAGCAGCTCAAGAAAGGAAAGAAAAAGGTAACTGATTCTTTTCAAGCTACCTCAGCTAACATTCTTTTAGGCTGACACAAATTCTCTGCCTCATCCTGTTGAAGACGACAACTCACAATCAAACATCTGACATCATTATTCATTCCTAAACATGGCCAGCCCTGATGATAGGTTGGGGTTCAAGCCACCTTCCACTGACAAACAGGATCCCTGGGAGGCAATGCAGTCCATCAGTCACAGTTCCAAGAAAGCTGTGGGCAAATCCTTAGAATGTGATGCAAGGAAGGATAGAAGACCATGGGATTTAGATGAACATGATGAGTCAGAGGATGATGCAAAGGATGATGCCAATGAGCAAGACCACAATGATCAACCCAGTGAAGATGAAGATGGCTTGTTGCATGATATGCAGGAGTAAGTTGCACATTCCTTGTATCTTTTCCTCACATTTTTTTCATCCTTGTCCACTCAAGGGCTCAAGTGAACTGCATGGCCTCATACGGTGATGAAGACAGCAATACTCACATGGATCTTGACCAGGGGGATTTTGACAGCCGAGTCTTGGACAACAATCCTACTCATCACAAAGCCACAGACACTTTTGATGTCCTTGAACACCATCAAATGAAAAATGGACAACACAAAGCTCCCTCCCCAACTTGTTTAGCACACACACATGTAAGTTTTTATTTCACTTATTATGCACGATTACTGATCTGTCCCCCAGTCTTCTCATGAACACAGGTCTACCCATCCATGTGAGACTGGCTCAAAGTCTCATCAGTGTTCATGTTTTTCATTTGTTGTATTAGGGATCTCATCACCCCTCCCTCAAATGAGCATACACTTCTTCCTCTTCCACGCACTTGACCCATGGACACATGCCTCGCAGAGCACCATCTAAAAAAATTGCATTGACCTGTGTGCAACCAGATAGTTCACCTCCACACCTCTCTGTTACTTATTCAAAGTTCCCTCCAAACTTACCTCATTCTTCCTCCTTCCACAAACTGTCTCCTCGTCCCTGCTCTCCAACTCAGTCTATGGTTTCTTCCAGTCACAAACTGCCCTCCTCTCATGGACAGTCTTTGGCACAATCTCTGCCCAGGCATTCTGCTCAGCCAGATTGGACACCTTCTCCCACTTCTAGTTCAAACCAATCTCACTCTCATAGTGCCTCACCTGTTCAACGCAGCATCCCTCGAAGCTCAGCTTCTATCCAACATCTTGGCAAGCTTTCCTGCAGGAAGCAAAGTTGGAAATGTGGTTGCAGGCAGTTTTATCACATCCTCTTCCAGCTCATCAGGATGTGGTATCACTGGCACAAGAAGTTTTGGATACCATATTATGGACATACCACATAAAGAAGCTGAAGCTTGACAATGGTAAGTTTCCCTGCACCATCAGAAATCACTCCAATTTGATGTCCTTGTGAAGGTTATTTCCTAGAGTATAAAACACTGATGTCGTGACTGGTAAGTACTGAGCTTAAATACAAACTTTGCTAATGAACCAACAGCTCTGTGACGACCTGTTCACCTTTTGTACAGAGCTCAAAAAAATTGTGATATTTATCATGAAGCAATTATACAGTATATTCTTGAAGGGCAACTCAATGCACAAGGAGTGTGTCAGTGAAGCAGTGGCTAAGCTCCTGAAGACCAGCAAATATCTTCGGCTCCCTGACTCTTCTGAGGTCAGTGACAACCTCATGGTGTGCAACATTCATTATTGATGTTTGCAGAAAAAATACACCAATTTTGTGTCACAAGTCCTTAAGGAAGCCTGTCTCAGTTTTTAGTATGGCAACAGTAAAAAAGTGCTCAAACTAACTGATGAATTTCAACACAAAATTCCTGTCAATGGCCTTATTCTGGTGGCTGTGGTTGTAGGCTTTGGTTTTATTAATTTTTATATTCATCACTGATCAATACTTAACAGATAAAGGGTGTTCTCTCTGGCTTCTGCGACAGTGGTACTGACAAGGTGCCTGACCTTGCCACTGACATGTGCAGGGCTGACTTCAATGCACTGCAAAAGTCTATCAACAAGTTGATGGTCGTTCCCAAGCGTCAAGTGGAGCCTGAAGAGATGCAGAAGGAATGGGCCAAGGAGGGGATGATAGGTGGAATTCACAATGACTCGGATGGTGCAGCAGGCAGCAAGGATATCAATATCATCATTTAGTAGATTTTTTGAGCTGTTACAATGTCATTTGCACAGCATGTTTGATCTATCTACAATAATCTAGTCTGCCTGCAATGTCCAGCATGTCTACATTGTCCAGCATGTCTACATTGTCCAGTTTGTCTACACTGTCCAGTTTGTCTACATTGTCCAGTTTGTCCAGTCTGTCCAGTCTGTCAATATTGTGCCTTTCTGTATGGATTGTAAGTGTCATATACCTGATCCAACCACTCCGACAATATTGATATCCGCTCTGCTCGACCCTACACCCCTCCCACTTTCCTGTCACCTCTGCTCCATCTGCCCTCTGCTTGATCCAGTCAGCTCCCACATCCACTTCTGTGCTCCCGCTCAACCACTTCATCAGTTACCTTCCATATCATCTCCATTCAACTGGAACCTCTTTCCCCATTTAGGTATATACTGACACATAAAACTTACTTCCCGGATCACCGGTACTTCCTATAACTGCTTGATTACTAATCCAACACATACATATTGATATCCACTCTGACTTATGTTTTCACCTGTGTTAATACTTACAAATTGTATACTTGATACATAGCCTCATACCATGGACTACTGGTCACTGCCTCTTACTTAAAAGTATATAAAACATATCATGTACTTAGCTACTTTCCTCAGTCTTAATATTACTTGTCTTCCCGCAGTCTCTACCAGTGGGAATTCTCCATAGGACTTTGCTCTCTCCGGACACAAGTTTACCTTGTTGTCACCTCCAATCCTCTGCTTCAACTTAGAGTAGTGCTCTAAAGTATTCACTCTTACCTCTCCGACCTAACCAACCAATCCCCTTACTCCCCTCTGCCCCAACGCACTTTCCCTGCTTCACCTGCTCTGCTTCTAGTCAGACCACCACTAGTAGCATTTACCTCCCGACCCACAAAGCAGACCAAAGCAGTCTGCCCGTCCTATTGTTGGACAACATTGGTCCTGCTCCAAATTCGGGGCACATACTCGGCTAAAGGCACAGCGCAAGAGCTGAAGCCAAGCCCCGACCCCTCCGCTTCTCCATCTGAGCATGGTACCTAACAGTAAGGCTTTGTGACAGGATTGTAAAGAAGGGACTTAGCTGTGGGATTGTACTGTTTGTAAAAATCTGTAAAAATCTGTACAAGGTTCCCCTAGTTTGCTGATGTGTATCATATGTACAGGTCTCTGAAGCTTGTATTGGGACAAAACAGACAAAAAAGTGTTCTATTGTGACCTATTCTATGTACATAGCATACACTAATACTTCTCTACAGTAGATAGGTGGATATGGTATGGTGGTGGGCAGGAATATGCTGGGGAGGAGTGTGGGAAATGTTGAGATCCAGGAAATGACCAGAAATGGCTATGTTTTGGGTGTAGTGACAAATTTCCCACAGTCTAAAAAATGCGGTGGTGGGATGCATCAAAGATGCATTGGGTGATGCACCATACATTAGCAGGCCTAGCATTGTAGCATGAATGCATCACTATTAACCCTACAATTCCAATACTTTATTGCATTATTATGACAATAACGCCTGGAATTTGGAATTTAGATGTATGTCACACTTTGATTTTGCGGTCATAGACTCGATAGTCACAATCAGACTTGGGTAGATTTTTTTCAAGGATCTATACCTAAGATCAAATCAAGACTCCTAGATATTGCAGTCGAGAAAGGTGCTTTGGATGTTCAACAGCCGAGTGTCGAGATTTGTTCTTCCACCCTCTCGTGCTTATTGCGATAATGAACAGCCTGTCAAGATCAAACCCACCGGATCATCATCCAGGCTCCTTTCCAACCCACACTACACATGAGACTTTTTCCCGGAAACCATTGTCGGCGGGTCTATGCATCACGGAGATGTGAGGCAGCCAGCATCATTAAACATCATGGTAGAGTACGAGGGATGGACAATGGTTGGGCTGCGGGGTTTTATCATCACAGAAGCTAATAGAGAAAATATGGTGGGGGACTATTCGTCGGACACGAAGGGTTTTGTGTAGATGGAATTGTAACTTTGCATTTACAGAAAAAATAGTGCCCACTATTTTGCCTCAGATGTCCGGCGTCAATGAGAATAACTCTGGTTGAAACGTAAACTCACAATTCTCCCGCTGACGAAGAAACAGAACAAGACCCGATGACATCTCACTTTCATAGAGATGATACATCCTCCCAAACACCTACCACGCCCACTCAAAAGCAAACACGGGAGGCTCGAATGATACTCAAGGGTCACGAAGACTGGGTGAGAGGCGTAGCTGTCATACCTGGCGCCCGTCTCCTTGTCACTTGCTCGGACGACAAAAGCCTTCGCATGTGGGATCTAGACAAGGCGCATCAAGTAATGGAGCCCTTGTGGGGTCATGATGACTATGTCTTGACAGTCGCAGCGTCTCATGATGGGCGTTGGATTGCGAGCGGAGGGTGGGGCGGAAACATCCTGGTCTGGAAAGTGAGCACAAAAAATGAGTCTATCTCGTTCAAGGGACACAAGAGTGCCATCGGAAGCATCGTATTTGCATCGAACAGCGGCAGATTTGCAAGTGCGTCGGCGGACAAAACGGTATGCGTGTGGCGGAGAGATACGGGCAAAATCGTGCTAGGACCACTCTATGTGGGCAGCGCCGCATTGTCGGTGTCATACTCCCCTGATGGGAGGAGGCTAGCAGCAGGTACCGATGAACATATCATCGTTTGGAATGCAGCAAGCGGAAAAGAATTGCTAAAGATAGAGCAGCGGGCATTGGAAGTCGCATTCACTCCAGATGGCCTCCATCTAGTCAGCGGAAATCAGAAGGACATCCGAATCTCAGATGCTGCTACTGGAGACATCATCAAACAGTTTGACGCACATGCCGAACCCTTCCAATCATTAGCCATTGCTCCCGATGGCAGCAAATTCGCTACTACGTCGAGCGACAAAACGACCCGCTTCTTTGACCTGACCACTTTCGAACTCATCGACGAGTCACTCGAGCACCCTGATATTGTCTGGTGTGTGGCTTTTTCGGAGGATAGCCAGCTTATCGTGACTGGCTGTGAAGACCGACTTGCTCGTATATGGAGTGTTCCTCAGAGCAAGTCAGAGAAAGAGGGGCGCGAAAGGCTCCCGCGGCCAAATCGCGCAGGATTGCCGCATAGGTTCTTTGATGACGTCCGAGTCAGTCCTTACTTTAGACTAGCTCACAATATTTGCATGACTGACCGGGTGTCCAGGTCGAAACAACTTATCCGCCGTGTCGCCCCAACCGGTCCGCACATGGAAGCTTGCAACACCCCACAGGGCACTCCCGCATCAAGGACCTCATTCACCGTCTCCCATTTCGCAGGCTGTCGCCACAAGCACAGCCTGAGGTGGAACACTCATGGCACTTGAGGGTCACGCAGTTGCCGCAGCAACTCCTACCCACTCGTAGGTCGAGATCTGGCCAAGAGCCACCAATCGTCGACGTTGCAGTCGGGCGCAAGTTCACTGTAATGTGGATCTCTTACCCCTCGTTTCCTTTTTACTGATTGGCGCCGTACAGCGTCTTGCTATTGCCCATCCGCCAGAATACAGGAAAGTCGACGATACCCGACGTCCACCTAGAGAGCAGCCTGTTGTGTCACAGGACATGGCGGAAAATGACCCGTCGTCCGAGTCGGCTGAGACTGATTCGCTCCCAGACATACATTGGTTCAAGGCGTTCATCTGCTTTTATTCGTGCTGGTCTCATGGCAGACTGAGAATGCCTCCACGATGGCGCTTGGAGCTGGTTGACCAACCTCACTAGGACCACATGACCTAGCTGTCGTGGTCCACCTTCACTCATCTTCGCTCGTTTACATAATTCCGCTACGTTCATCTGGTGCAGGATTTGTGAACGAGTACTCTCTTCTGTACAAATGTATGCCATCCAACGTTTATGGTCTCAACAGGTAGATAAGTACCACGACGAAACTCCAAAATAAACTCCCCAACAAAATACTTATATTCCTTGCAGAGAACCCGTTAAGTGTTTTTGATGACTTGGAGCTCTACATCACCGCCGGTGGACTCGTGCACGCGCTCCTGGAAAGCGATTGTAGTCATGGCAGTTCCTTCGTCGGATTCAGCTACAAGCTTAGCGTGATATTGTCGGACGCTAAGGATAAGGCGTGGTCCAAGCACAAACTGCTGCACGAAGGAGATAGTCTGATAAGCGCCCCAATAGACCTGCACTCCCACGGAAGTCGAGTCCTATAGATATGGTGAGGAGTGGTCAGACGCAGACGTCAGTCACAGATTAGCCTACCACGATATTTGGAGACGGAAAGTCGAGATTAACAGCGGTATATCTAGAATGTGCGAAGCTTCAACACCACATTCAAATTAAGCTTACGCTGCAAAGTAAAGCACATGTGATTTTATCAACACCGTGAAACAGTCCGCGATGGCGGATCCTGCTGATTGTCGCTGCAGTTCACGGAAGTGTTTTACAGCAACCCAGGCTGCGAAACTCAGTGCGAGAACCTCTCGCATGGTAAGAATGATCCAAGTCTCGTCTACGAAAAGTTGGTCGATTCCCTTATCAACACACACATAGGTGCCGGAGAGGACGAGTATATTCCGCTCATCACCCCACTTGCGATCATGACAGCCGAAAAAATTATGACGAGAAAGACGAGCATCTTTCTCGATCGCTGATATGTGGCAGGTAATCGAGTGATCATGATGACTTGCATGAGATTTCAGTCGAGTCAATATCACTGAGATACTAGAACTGAGTAGCTTACCACCCAGCATGACATTTACGATCAAAACCGTCGAATTTATAACGCGGTCAAGGACGGTGCCTGAAAAGCGCGAGCACTGGTGAGCCTCGGAGAACCAAATGTTTCAAACGAACTCACAGCTGCTTCAGTGGTTATATTGAACCGACAAGTGAGAGGAATCTCACTCACCCCTGAACAGAAACCATCGTGCAGTACACCCACCTTATCTGTTCGTGAAACTGACGGGAGATATGCTGATGCAATTAGAATTGAATCCAGCATATGATGCTGGTTGTGAGAAATACGGTTTATTAACGCAGTGCCAACTTGTGAGCGTTACAAACATACACAGTGTATAGTATTCCCACGTAGCGCACCTGTAGTATCCAGTTGAAGTCAGCATAGTCATAAGCTAGTACGTACGCTGAGATACAGGACGTTCATGAGGGACCAATGTTATATCTGGATTGAATCACGATGTCTTCTCCTGCTGTCTTTTGCTATGGATCAGCTCTACGCACCCAGACCAGTTCAAACTATAAAACCATTATTAAAGATATGACTTATCCGGTAATGGCACCAACCTACTTCTTTCCCGAATGTCAGTGCTAGAGATTACCATCGGGAGATCAATGATTCCCTGGATAAGTAGTATTTTCTGGCTCACCCCAATCATATAACACCGCAACAGTGGAAGCAACCGCAAAACCACAGTCAAGATCGAGTGAGACCTCACCAACATCACCCGAATTGCTCTCCACGAACCTGTAACATAGCTGAGAACGCGAACGAAATCGACTAGCGGCCACCAACTGGGGTCATTTGAGACCTGGGTCATATCCAAGGGGTCGGACCGGTGTCAGGAAGCGGCGAACTTGATGGACGTACGGTAATGGCGTTCGCGCTACGTAGATATACCCCGTTATACCACTACCCAAGACTACCAAGCGCTTTTGTCCGAAATACGCTGTGGAGCGGGATCGATTATGTTAGCAAACCTTGCTGATACGCTCCCTGAGCTTACATCAAATGACACCGTATACGAAAGCCACGCACCACCCAATCATGCCATCATGAGTCATCTAAGCTTTCGTACCTCAAGCTCAGTGACCGAAAAGGGATAAGTGGATTGTTATAGTAGTCGAACAAAGGCAACAGCTAAGGGGGTAAATCGCAATACGTGAGGTTTTTGTCCGCAAGGCCCTTCTGTCCGAAAGATCTGGGATACAAGGTGAGTTGCAATTCCCGACATGATGCATCATCTTGCGCCGTGCCAGCGAAGCTGGACAACCGTGGCCAACTAGAAGGTGGACCCAGCCTGACTCGGAGAGTCAATCGCATATGCAACTTCCTCGACGGCCTTCATCCAATTGGGGCAACGGTTTCGACCGTCTTCCACAGGCGATCCCGGTTGTGCTCAGAATCGATCTCTCGAGTGACGTTCCTGCAGCGGTTGTCTCCTAATGTTTGGTCGTAAGTGAGCCTGTAAAGTTTAAACGACGTCCACAAAGTGTCACACATCGCACGTAAACGTGGCGTCGGACCATGTGATACGTCACGTGTGATCCTACCGAAATAGGAAAGCTGCTCTTGGAGTGCGTGTCTGGTCTAACGCTGCACGCTTTGCTATAAACGTTGCTCGATGACCCAGTGACTTGCAATCCATTCGTTCTCTCGCATGAACTCTCGCAATCATCAACCTCGCTGGAAACGTATGATCGCTATGAAGAAATCCTCAATTCCTTCCATCTCTCTTGTCTTCGGAGAAGCACAGCAGGTTTCGTCGTCCCAAACCGCAGCTGAGAAGCTACCCCAGATCCTGCGCAAAGCTAGTCCCAATTCTACATGCTCAATTTCAGAGGCTCGGTCAGAGCAGTCTTTGGAAGAGATACCAGTCTCTGCTTCTGTTGACCAACCCGCCATTGCCCACGAAGCAGGGCAACTTGACGTGCCGACCACTCGTGCTCAATGTGCATCACTGTTAGCGGCGGAAGGTACTCTTTCATATCTTCACGTTATCTCACTTCTGAATGTGGCATATCGTCTCAGGCTCACATCCTATTCCTACGCCGCCTAGTAAGAGTGACATGACGGTTGTGCAATCAGGTGCATCTGCGGTCTCCGTAGATTCAACAGCACCTGTTTCGTCTGATCCTTCTGATCCTCTCCCTCGTGATATCTCTGTTGCAACCTCGTCTCAAAAGTCTTCTTGGTTCGCTTCGTGGACCCGAGGAAAAGGCGAAGGGCTACCTGACTCCGGCGTCGAGACGACCCGACGCCCGACTTCAGTGCAAGCGTCCGGGAAGGGATCTTCGATGTTTTCAGAAACTGTACATTCGGAAACTCCTACCGTCTCTTTAGTTTCAAAACTACCTATTCTCAGTATAACCGAAGATGGTCAGCCAGTCAGGGAAAGCATTCCTACGCCAACCCTTCCACAGGATATACCTACGAGACTACATTCAAACTATCCGCTAACTACTTCTCCCCATTCGGCATCATATTCATCTTCCTCTTCGCCAGCAGCCCATCACTCTCGACCTGGCACCGCTCCCACACCCTCGCCGCTGGACGAGGATGTGCCTAAACTTCCTCCCGCCAAGTTGTCTCCAGCGAGTCCGTCCACTGTTCTGCGAAGTGGTGATGCATCACATTCTACTTTGACGCTCAATCACTCTACTAGCCGGTTTACACTGAGCATCCCTTTACTTGGGCGACCAAAGCTTCCTCTTGAACAGACTGTTGCTGCAGCTCAACTTGACGATAACAGAAATATGACGCTGCAAGCAGATTCATCTCTGCCTTGCAAGCAACAATCGAGTACGCAAGGTTTGTTACGACCATCCACGCGCAATTAACGCGATGACTGAACATATTGTTTGATAGAGTCCATACCTCTCGCTACAGAGAGGCCTTCTGCAGCTGTCACAGAGACGACTGAGGTGAATGTCACGGCAAATGTTATAGCTCAGCTTGAGGAGAAGGGTACTGCAGGTGCCACTGAAGCTACTAACGCGCAAACAGACACATGGTGGTCATATCTTGGATGGGGTGGTACTCGACCGTCCGGTGCTCAACCGCATGAAAGTGAGATAGAAATTGAAAATGCTCCCACTATCTCGGTTGTTCCCGATGCACTGCCCCTGCCAGTTGGTGAGATGGTACCACAGCCAACCGTCGATTCCGAGACCGTTGTTCCTCAGAAGTCGGAAGATGGCACTGAGGAACAAATCGCATCACAGGAGGCCCCCTCCGTGCTGTCCGCTGACGCATCAGGATCGCAAGGCTCTGCATGGTATTCCCCGTGGTCGTGGTACCAAACCTCGTCTACTCCCGTGATATTGACAAGCTCTCCTTCGGACACTCAAGCGGTTACCGGTGGAGAGGGGAACGTGCAGCCGGAGCTCAACAAAGATGATGAACTTTTAACACATGCGACCAGTGCTGTTCCCCCTTCGCCGGAGCCACAAGTTCCTGCTAGCGAAGCAAATCCGATTTCATCGACAATTACCAATAACAGATCCGGCTGGATCTCCTTTTTCTCAGCTCGAGCAGTGGCGATGAAGAGCATTACAAACGAAAGTCACAATAAAGAAATGGAAGTTATGGATTTGGACGAAGATGAAGCTAGTCTAACTGTTGGCCCTCCATCATCGGCCACTTGTTCCATTCCGTTGAACAAGGAAGTCAACTCACCATCTCCGGGTCTAACAAGTGTACCGCCTGTTACTCCTCCCTCTTCATCTCCAGCTCAAAAACCCGAGGACAAATCTACAACTAATGGCTCGGCCAATATTTCAGACGCCGTCCGGCGCGGTGCCAAGCGCCCACCATCTCCGACGCCTTCGAAGAAGTCAGGGGTGAAGACGCCCACAGTCCCTCCTCCTCCGAACTTGGTCCTGCCTACATGGGAGGATACTTTTCACACGCAGCCTCGCGCCTATGTACCTGCTCAGCCTCCATCTGCCCTTTCCAAGACCTTTCAATATGTCAGCGAGGTACTCTTTGCGCGTGATGAAACTGTCACCCACAAGAAAGGCAAGGGAAAGGCTCGAGACAGGCCTATGGAACCGTATGAAAAGGCACTCCCACGCTCGTGGGATGTGATCGGAGGACAGGAACAACAGGACGTGCTTAGAGGATGTCAGAGGGCAGTTGTGATTGGCGTGCACGGGTGGTTCCCTGGTCCGTTCTTACTTTTCCATAGGAAGATTCGACGTGCTCATACGCAGCCTCCGAAGGTGCTGTCATGCGGACGGTTATCGGAGAGGTTAGTCTAGGCCAGTTGTCGGGTATCACGGTTCGACTGACCCTTGTGCAGCCGACTGGGACGAGTTCAAAGTTTGTGAACATGGCTGTTCAGGCTTTGGAAGAATTCCAAGACAAGCACAACGTGAAACTCTCCAAGATCACAAAGATACCCCTCGAAGGCGAAGGCACCATCAGCCGCCGAGTCGATAAGTACGTCCTGAACATCTCTCCCTCGACAAGATCTATCTGATGGTCACCTCGTGAAAATAGATTGTATCAGAACCTGATCGGGAATAAGGAATGGATGGATGACCTCCAGAATGCCGATGTAATCTTTTTCGCCACGCATTCCCAGGGATCAATTGTTTCGACTCACATCTTGGATCGCCTCATCGCCGAAGGGCACATCCGAACAGCAGCACGTGACTTGGTTGCCGCCGCAGTTGAACTTGCTTCTGGTAGCACCAGTGTCGCACTCCCCCCGCAAAGGGTGTGTTGCCTGGCCCTGTGTGGAATTCATCTTGGACCGCTGAGATACCTAAGCACGAGCTCATTAGTCCTACCTTATATCCAGGTAAGTCGTGTGATTTCGTTGCGCACCCAAGTTTACACAGGACAACCTAGTACTTCGAGTCGATTGCTGCCAGGGAGCTATTTGAATTCCAGGTAAGTTAGTTTCATAAAGTGGAACACAGTTAGTGATGGCGTTACCACCACCAGAATACCGACAGTCAGATTTCCAGAGACTACGTAAAGGCCCTGGGAAACGTTCTGGATAATGGAGTATGCACAACACCTGGGCTGATTATCCGTCGAATTAACTGTATTGTCTCCAACAGGTTAAGATGGTGTATATTGCGTCCTTGAATGACCAAGTAGTAGGGCTATACTCTGGGCTGTTCACTTCAGTGACGCATCCCTTAATCTTGCGTGCATTGTATATTGATGGAGATGCATACCAGTGCGTGTCGTGTCGCTCGCCTTACACGAATTTTACTAACGTCACAAAAACCTCCATAGTTCCTCAGATTTCCTGTCCAATCTCCTCGTTCTCCTGCTACGTATTCGAAATGCAGGGCTGTCAGACGGTGGGCTCCTTACTCATTTGTCGGAGGCAACCGCAGGGTCGCTGAATGGGGTTGGACATTCAACCGCATACGAAGAGACTGCTACATATTCGTGAGTACTATTCTTCCAGAAAAGATATATGGTTGACTCCGCAATCAGCTTCGCAATCAGCTACCTTTTTCTATCCGACTCTGGACAGCAACCACAAGTTGAGCTTGCGATGGAGCCATTTGATGCCCGAACGGAGCAGAATGACTACGAGGTTTGCTACGTTCCTGTCATATATGTTCCTTGCAATGAATCTTGCCCTAGATCCCCTGGGCGCTCCGTGACCTCATTGCTGATGATCGGGTCGCCGAGCTCTTCTCAGATGATTTTATTCGTCTCCGAGATGCTTTCCGAGACTGGCAACCCAAGACTGCAATTTTGCGTGATGTAAAGAGGAAGCTCCAGCCGATTCAACGCCTTTCATCGACCATGATATTCAGACATGCCGAATCTATGAGCAAACTATGATTCACCCCCGTCGCAGGATCTGATCGATGGAGCTCGCCGTTTCAATCTACTCACATTGCGTCACTAGATTTTCACACACCACAGACCTAATACTCTTGAAACAATTTCCCCCGTCACTGTATATCATTCATTTGCATCGCCCCTTGCAGCCGGCACTCACAAATATATATAATTCATTGAGAACATTGCGATGCAGGAAAAAGTAAGTTCCGAAGTCCAGAGAGTGCGGATGCGGATCCACGACCTCCGGATCTTACACACTAAACAGTACAGCAAACACGGCGTACAGAACTATCGGATATGTCTTGTGATGCATGTGTTCAGAGCAATGAAATCAGAGCACTGATGTGATGGGGTTCGAAAAATCTTCAGCAATCACATGGAAGAACGTTGACGGATGGAGCCTGGAGCCCGGAGGCTGGGCGCGCAGCCACATCAAACTTTCGGACTACCCAACCGTGCCGATCCTCCTTATTCTGAGAATTCAAGACGGTCCCTATGGCACGTTAATGATTTAATCCTATCTAGTCGAAGATGTGCACGCAGATCTAATTTTCAAGTTCTCATCAAAGATACACCACATAATTTAAGATGAATGGCTATACATAAAAATGATAGGCATCAAGTAGAGAGTACAGCCATGTCAACGGTATTCGGCCCCACAGTCCCCTATCGTGGTGATCATCCGGCGACCATTAGACTGAGCTTGCACTGCTTCAATGGCACGATTATCCTCCTCATTTAACCTGAAACCAAAAGCACGGTCGTTGTCACTGGTGTGTTCAGAAACTCCCAAACGGGCGCCTGGAGGAAACAAAAATAAATCTCCGCTTCGAGGGCAGATGATTGTCTCACCAATGATTACAGCTCCGACAAAAGAGTGATCAAGAACCCATCGTGTGGCTATGTTTGCAATGCTTAGCCCCCCATGACGATCTCCGATATCACGCAGCACTGCCAAGAGGGACTGGAAAATTGCCCAGTCGCCCCAGGCCTTCAAAATCATGTCAAGATACTAGGGGCGGTTATGAGATCTTTCCGAGTGCGCTTAGGCCACCCTACGCGGAGCAAGAGATACGTACCTTGCGCTGAGATGGCGTCAAAGCACCGGAATAGAGGTCTGGTTCTGGCTGGTTCAACCACTGGTCTGCTAAAAATCCACCGCACTGCCAAGCGCTGTGTAGTGATCTGAGATCACAGTGAGGAAAGCAATACACATACAAGTGTGCCATATGTCAATAATTTCACATTGTGTCGTTCACATACATCGGCCATCCCGTGCAGGGGTCGAGTGTCAATTAGGGAAAACTAGATGAAGGTGAGAATGACAATTGAGGCATTGGTTTGGAAATCCTGACCTGAACTTGATTTGAAACGATGAAATTAGGCCCCAATTGTGTACATATTTCATCTGTTCGTATGGCATCAAAATTGCACAGGCCGACCGCGCTGATAAGCCCTTCATTCTGAAAGTCTTGAAGAATTTGGAGGGCGGTGAGATATCCTTTGTCGGAGTAATCTTGCCAGTGAAACTACAGGGGAAGACCGTGGTATTGAACCAAGGGAAGCATATAAAACCCTGACTGACTTGCAGTAAATCTATAGTGGTTGTGCGCATGCGTGTCATGCGCTCACGGATCGCGTTCTCCACCACAAAACGCGACGGTTCTGTTTGCCGGAATACACACCACTTTGTAGCCCCGACAACGTCTGCCGGACTGGGTAATGATTCTTTGAATTGCCCCTGAAAATACCGGCTCAAAAGGCGCAACCTGAGTGACACTGAGGAACATAACTTACGTAGAGTATTTCTGCGCTTCCATAATGATCGGCTGCGAGACATCTTGCTCAGCTCACGGCAAATGCAGTGCAGATTAGAACATACCCTATACGCCGATACCGGCGAAGTCAGTTTTATTGAAATGACCTATCAAGGAGCACGGATTGCGTACCATATCTACCAAAAATGGCGCTCATAATTGCAGAGAAACCCGCATGACTTGTAATTCGCTACTCACCGAAGGCATTATAACCCATTTCGACGTGCCTGGCCATTGCTTGACGAATCTTTGCTGCCGAGGCACTTCCCCAAGCGTTACTTGACAGCTGCCAGAGACCTACCCACACCCGAGGTACGGTGAAAGGACCAAGAAGGAAAGTCTCTTGCGCTCTTGTTCTGGGCATAGTTAGGAGCAAACCAGGATAGGAGCGAAAGTGAGTGAAAATGTGGCATTATAATGAATCTTGATCAAACTCCGTTCTAATCTATGAAGAGGGCGCTAAGGGGAGGGGAGAAATTACCCGGACATGTTTGAGACAAGTTGACAACCAATTGTGACATACATACTCGTTTAGAATCGGTGTCTTGACATAGGCTAACATCTGAGAGGACACTAATTATCAATACCTATTTTCAAATCATCAATTGGCACGGCAAACAACAAATGACCGTTGACAGACCGCGATCGTACGTACGAAAACGCTTTGCGCCAGCCTGTGTTCAATGATGCTGACTTAACCTCGAAATAGTTGCGGGATCAGTCCTGTGGCTTCTAATGATGACACTTCCACTGCTGATGCCCGAGAATATGCACCGCAAGTGTTAAATAAGTTCGGATCCAGCTGTCCGACAACTCGTGTTTGAATCCTCCCCCACATACAATCACCAGCGCTCATCCTGTTACAATGCCCGCCCCCGAAGTTGCACCTGTCCACATACATGAGACTGCCAAAACACTTGGGCATGTGTAAGTCGACATCTTACCCCTTAGCATGGTCCATTTACTGATGATTGTTGGTAGTAACTTGATGGTAAGTCAGAGATACCCTCAGGTCCCAACTGAAGCGCATATGCACTTTCCTCTCACAGGTGGACACGTTGATTGCGAATGCCACGATAGATGAGCAAGTGTCTGTCATTTCGGCCGCCGCATCGGAACACTGACGATGATACCCAACCAGCTTGCGCGCAATCACTCGAAATCTTCTTGCAACCGGCACGCCCAGTCTCGCGGCGGCATTCACAGCTGCGGCACGATCGCGCCTCCGTCATACCAGTGCTAAACGCATAGCGACAACAAACGGCTTATTCACGACTAGTCTCAATGGCATCCATGCTATTCCCACACCAGAGCTAGATAATGCACTCGCCCGTGCTCGTTCTCTATATGGAGCTGGAATGGGTTTGGCAAGTTTGGGTATTCTTTCTTCTATTGTACAAGCGACTGTTGGCTTGAGATGGGAAGAGGATGGCGTAATGGCAGATACTTTGGCGGTCATAGATGCGGATATTAGCCAAGCCATCCAGGTCGGTGTCAACGCAACCCTACCGCATATCTTCTACTAACCGGATAGTGGCAGAGTTGCAAAGAAGAACTGGAAGGCGGACGCGTAAACGATATGGCTGTTGCTCAGGAAGCGATAGGTAATCTATGGTCGGGTATCGGGGAAAGTGCCAGGGACGTCGAGATTTGGGGCGGAGAATTCCCCTTTGATAGAGCATCTAACAGCATCGAGTGCTGGAAAATTTAGGCACCTGTCTAGATGAATGACTTGACTGAATGTCTCGTTGTAGGGCAGACGCTACGTAGTCACTGTTTTGGCCTTTAGTGGAATAATAACGGTGGCGAACACTAATCTGAAGCTAGCTCGGCTATGATTCACAGGCGGGAACCATACTAGAGAGCGGCGATCAATGCGGATACCATCTATCAGAAATAGGGCGTCTCTATTTACCAAGCAGTGGGTACGCCGGAACGTTCTGACAATAATCGGAGCAGCGAAGCGTAGTTTGTTTGTTGACCGGTCAATTGATTGCAAAAGTAATGTCAAACCATTTAAGCAACCCTAAAGGCTGTCAAAGGACGTCAAGCCACGGGAAGTAAGTTTAATCGCGAGTGCAAATGACTAATCTGAAAGTTAAAATGCAACTCCCTCAGTATTTTGTTTAGGATAGTTCAAGGAACGTGCCGTTTTCTGCCAGTGATCACGCCCGAGTCCGTCCAATTCAGTATTCAGGAGAGCCCCAAACCTCGGCAACGTAAACTCAGGCTTGTGTAGCGTCGATTGTGTGTTCGCCGCCACTTGATGGATGCAGCGTGCTCGTAAGCGAAATTCGAATCAAGGAGGGTCGTTAATTCGTTTGTGCTGGGGAATATCGTTACTTAGTCAGGATATTCGAGAGCGGTCGAGTGCCTTGTGCTGCGACCTACTCACGCATATTTTTACAGGCCCCGAATGCCCATACTATCAAAGGGGTGTCAGATTTCTCTGCAGGAACTCCACGAAACGGCATTTGCTGAACCGCGGGATGGCGCCATCAAATTGTGTTCCAAGGGACGCGATGATACTGAGGGCTGAGAGAGGCTGAGAGTCGTGAGGGTACACGCAAACGTCTCGTGAGAAGGATGACAGAAATCTGCATTAAACCCAAGAGTCGTGCGCTCAGATCGCGGGCTCGGCTTCTAGAAAGAGCCACTTTTCATCCACTCCCTGTTAAAGGAATAGCGCCTGGGCCCAGGCCGCCAGGTGCTGATCACAAGGAAAAACAGCATTATGGTCTCGTTATGATCCGCCTGCTAACTTAAGTAGAATCGACCAGCACTTAAGCGTTAATTAGCAGCGAGAGACAAATTACTCTAAAACTAATGGGGACATCAGTCAGACTGAGGCCCTCAGAGAATGACATGTTTTATATCGGTGTTTAAATTTTATGCTGTACAGTGTACACCGTGATGAGATGATCATGAGGCTTTGCCCGCATCTCCCAGGCTCCCAACTTCCCTCAATGTCGAGCTAGATTGCTTTTGCTTTGATCCTAGACCAGCCGATTGGTCTTTGCTATTCACAATTCAATATGGCGTCATGGATGCTTGTCCGTGAGCTGCTTTCTATAGCGACAATCTACGGTAACGCTCCGTTGACGGCTGATTTTGAATTTCTGATCACGATAAGGTGGAAGAAGATGAAAACGTTTTCGCAATCATCTTCCGGGAACTTAAACCAAATTGCTCCCACCCGCTCTTAACTGTGACGAGCGCTCCGGAACGGCTATCTTCATTCTATCTGGTCTGCGGCCTATGGGAGACGATTCTCAACCACAGTCTGCCAGCCTGTCTCGACGTGAAGAGCTATCTAACCCGACAGCCTAATTCTCCATTTGAAATAGTTCAACTAATCGTTGGGTTATTTTGAAGTGCGCTCTGATAGAGTCCACTAATCACAACACCTACGAGGCGGTAGTGAGGATCAGCAGGCCTCAGCGCTACAGTGCTCATGGGCGAGCTGTTGACGAAAAGTTCAGATTGGCATCCTGGCGTCAATGCAGGGCCCCAGCGTGGCCGGCATCTTGCCCCAGATATAGTCCTTCTAAGTATATAATTCGGTCAAGTACAACTTACCAGCGCAAAATACTTTTGTCCACCAAACCTTTGACAATCGACTCATTATCTGGCGACGACCTCGTCTTTGGCTGCCACGGCCTCACTGCTATGATTCATGCGTGATAACCCACAGAATGTTCCCTCTTTTCTGCGCTGCCGGGTCATGATTCTTCATTTTATGTCGCCTGCGGATTCTGTCGTATGTTCCATCACGTGCATTGCTATTGCACCTCGCTAATAATCTCTCTCCTGTTCGTGGCTAGATTTGGTAGTACATGTGATGCGTTTTCATAACTCCTTGTTTGAATTGATTTTGAATGCCCGTTGAGATGCAACGAGTCAGTCTTCTACACGTTATTTTCCGTACTTACGTTCTGGTCGTGATTCCAGTTTATAAAGGGCTTCTGTGAATCATGGAGGCGTGTTAGTGACCTGTCCTCCACCTCGACCGGGGCGAAGCGAATTTACGGCTACTAAGTATGCATCGGTGTGTACTCTTCTGCCACGTGCAGCTTGTTTACACCATATGAGGTGTTTATCGTTAGGAACGTCCAAGGCCGCCATTCACCCACCCGTGTTGATTGCCGGCTACCTCGAGCAAGATCTTTTGCTAGAAGAGGTGGCCGTACGTGTTTCTAAGTTCTATTGTGCTGATCCGTCGACCAGACTCGACCATGTCGGTATCTTTACCCCACTTGACAAGCCGTGTTCATCGTTACACATACGATTGCGTACCACATGCAACTGTGCTGAATTTTTGTACAGTTCATTCGTTTTCCCATGTTTATGTTTGCCCTGGTAAACAGACTCGAAGACTAATTTGTCGTCTGCTTCGTGCCGCAAACTCGTGTTCCCGTCGTTCTAAGACGAAAAGCAAGAAGGTACGCCAGAGTGTTTTATCTGCCCAGTATCCCAGAACTCGCTCGAGGCTTGACCGACATCTATATCTTCCTGACCAAAGTGTTTTCGTTCGGGGACCTGAGTGATCCGATAATCCATGCGCGCATGTCATTTGTTCCCGAATTTTCTCCGAGATCGTCCCAACAGATCTCTTTTAGCTTGCATTGACAACGTGCTAGTTTCACGTCCACATGCGTCCACATCGTATATGACAAGTAAGTAGTAGTATTGTTCCGACTCGGAGTAGGTTAGGCGAGAGTCACCTAGCGGGCGGTTCTAGATTCCGTTTGTCTAGCTAGGCTGCTGGCAGATACGTAGGCTCACAACTTGCCTACGACCAATAAAGCGTTGTCTCTCGGGTCTATGTACCAATTGCTGCCTGGTCTGCAAAGGAGAACTATTAATACGACTCTCCGATGTGTTTGCGGCTATTTTTCCATGGTTCGTGAGAGATTGCGATATATCATAGGTACTGTTTACCGTGGCTACCGTCGACGTCATGCTTGCGGGTCCCCCATCATGGCAACAAACAATGATATTGTGAGCAGTACTTTATTGATTTCGAGTGCTGAGAGTTGTGAGATTAGTTCTATCGACATTGCTGGATGGGGGAGCGGCCTGCAAATGACTGACAACTTGAATTAGGACCCAACCATAATATTGGTGTTTGTATGGATGGTTACACGTTGAGTTACAGTATTCTCGAATTACGTAGTACACTGACTCATCCCTAACGGGTTCCCGATTTGGAGTATTTGTCTGCCGAAGTCTTACAATCAGATTCCTTAGTTCTGGAGACTGACTGCAATCGTAGCAGTTGTACACGACATAAGTACCCTGTTGCTATTGACATATCATCCATTTTAAATCTAGCTACAGACTGAGGTTCATGGCAGTTAAAACTTTGCGTTCACAACATGAGGCGGCCGCATCGGTACAACAATACCCCGCCAGTGACATTCGGTGTTAAATATATCAGTCATGCGGTCCGCAGGCTCAGGCTGCTTACAATGCCCTCGACATTCCTCACCGTCTCAGCTCGCCATCCTTGCGCTCGTGTCTTACAAACAGATAGCGCGGCGAAATAAAGGGCTACCACACGACACATCTCCCAGTCGATATTCACAAAGATGTCAGGGTCATTCACTAGCCAGCCAAACGATGCTACCGTGACAGAAACCGATGTGTCTATCGAAGATGATCCACACCTCGTCGTCCTGGAGCCGGACGACAATCCGCAGAATATGTCCTCGTTCAGACGGTGGCTTGCGGTCATTGTCATCAGCTCGGCTTCTCTATGCGTGACTTGTGCTTCTTCGATCGTGAGTCATTTCGCCTGTCATTTTTATCGAGACTAATCATGCTCCAGGCTGCATTCACAGAACAGGGTGCCGCCCAAACATTTCGTGTTTCACATGAAGTGACCGTCCTTGGAATAAGTTTATTTGTGTCGGGTCTTGGAACTGGCCCACTGCTCGTTGGTCCATTGTCCGAAGTGTATGGTGTGTCCAAGATCTTGCATTAAATAGCATACCTTTCAACGAGTTGGGTAGGCCGAAACGTTGTATACAGAATATCTTACGCACTATTCTTCATCTTTACATTTCCCGTGGCGTTTGCTCCTAACATCGGTGAGTACTTGCCCCCAGAAGGGACGGTCGATCTGAAACAGGACGACAGCTGTTTTCCTGATCTTTCGCCTTATCACTGGGTTCTGTGGATCAGCCTTTTTGAGTGTAGCCGGAGGTAGTGTGAGCGATATGTTTCCAAATTCGAGTATCGCAAAGTAAGCCCTTGGGCTTGCGTTCTGATAATCTGCTGAATTATTTGCCCAGTCCAATGGCTGTATATACCATGTAAGTATGCTTACTTGAACAAAGCTTCTAAGCAGCTAAACTGTATTTTGATTGACCAATCATTTTAACAGATCTCCATTTATTGGACCAGTGGCTGGCCCCTTGATTGCTGGGTGCGTACTTCATGCCCCTTGGGAGCATTGTGTCCAACATGACGCAATGTCATAGATTTATAAATCAGGTCAGAGTCATCGGCTTGATCCTTGATACTCGATTGACATCTTTCTGACAGCACCTATATTGGGAATGGACGTATCGCGTGCAGCTGTGTTGGATCTTTGCTGAGTTTCTGATGTTGGCAATAGTGCGTTTGTATTTCTGGTGAGGTGGATTTACTCATGAATTATTTAGTTTGTTCCTGAGACGTATGTCCCAGTGATCTTGAAGAAGAAAGCAAGAAGGTAGGAGTACATGTCCTCCTTTCTGTCATGTTCGCGTGATAGATTAATCTACTCGACAGACTGCGAAAGTCGACTGCAGATCCAAAGTTTTATGCTCCTCTGGATAGACGGGAAGGCACTCTTGCTTCTGCTATCCTTGTTAGTTGCTACAGGCCTTTTCGTAAGTCACCGGAGATCACTTTCGCCTCCTCGCAAGTAATCATGTGTCACCTTCCCTAGAATTACTTCTATTCGACCGAATGGCACTGCTTTTGGACTCCTGGTAAGGGCAAGGCAACTCATTGACACTCGGCGTGGGTCCTGATCATTCCAGGAATGCCCTTCTTCTTGGAATCCTATACCTGGCATTCCAGGCATACCCAATCATTTTCGAAGATGTTCATGGGTTTAATATGCAAATGACTGGACTAACATTCATCGGGATTGGACTCGGAATGCTTTCGGCCATTTCCACACAACCGTTTTGGAACAGGAGAGTCCCATTTTCTCTCGGCGTTCGGCAATAATATTGATGACCCTCCTTTCTAGACTATTCGCCCGCGAGGCCGCCAAATTTGATGGTGATCCACCTCCTGAGACGAGACTCATCATGGGCCAAGTGGGAGCTATTCTCGTACCCATCGGTCGGTAACCAATGGTTCTATGCCGCAGAATGCTCACCCTTTCTACAGGTTTATTCTGCCTCGCATTCACCACATATCCGCAAGTTCACTGGATTGCCCCAATCATCGCGTCTGTACCTTTCGGCTCAGGGGTATATTTCGTTTTCACGTCAACATTCACGTATCTTGTCACCGCATACCGCCCAATTGCTGCGTCTGCTATGGCAAGTAATAGTGCATTGCGGTCAGCATTCGCCGCTGCATTTCCGTTATTCGCGGGAGCCATGTATGATAGACTGGGGACTGTCGGCGCCACTGCTCTTCTAGCGGGCCTCACAACAATCATGGCGCCATTGCCGTGAGTCAAACAGACATCAGCTAGTATGCAAAATTGACCTTCATTTCCGACCACCAGTTTCGTATTTTACCGAATTGGCGCGCGACTGCGGAAGAATTCGCCTTTCGCGGCACATTGATGTACGACCTATAGATACTATGAAACGACAAAGCTTCAACGCGTCGAATCCACATATGAATTGATACATCTTGGGCGGTGGCGGCTTCTCTGAAACAAACGCCACAGATGATCGCCTATCTCAGCAAATACCTGAGTACATATTTTGTGTGCGGTTGATCAACTCCGGGTGCGTGGATCTAAATTTGGCTGTGTGCAAGATGAGTATTATGTATGACACCCTGAGTACACATCTGCCATACGTATATTGTCGAGTTACTGAAGCGGGGAAGTTGTGGATATCGTCTGATAAGCACAGGTGCGACCAAGGCAGCCCAAGAAGGACCACCCTGTACGGAGATTGAAGACACGAGCTTTACCATTCTCAGAAGGTTCGACGTTTGACCTGGGGTTTTGATATTGATTCAGATTGCAGCCATTCTCCCCTCGACCGCCACATATGTCATTGAAGGTTATTTATTTACTAGACTTTCTCCGCAGTAACAAGAAGCCTAAAATCAGTATTAGCATCCTTGGTAAGGATGCCCACGCCATAACCAGCCTTTGGGGACCGGTGATTAAACTCACGAGTCCAAACTCTCAGACAATTGTTAAAAGAGGACAGTGGTCTTCCCTGGACGACTGCTTAACCACCATCGGTATACCAAAGTAGGCGGTGCCCTCGTTTTATGTGATTGGTACCATTCACACCACCAAGCCTACTTACCTCTTTACTGGGAAACCGCCTACAGCCGCCTATCCGTAGGAAAGTGTCTTGCCAAGATGGGCATCCACACGACTCATGCATGTGGCGCTGGGCCTACCCCACCCCATATACACCCACGTTAATATTGAATATAAATAAATTTGCAGATTACCTGCTCCCCAGATTCAATCGGCTGTCCGAACCAACAGAACTGCGAGAACGCTTGCATTCGACTGCGCAGGAATTTGCTTTTTGCACCCATTCCACCTAACTAAAAGCCGTGCGCGCTCCCAGAACGTCATTTTCTTGAGACCCGAGAAGAACACCACGTTCAGGGACACTATATTTATCCTGTCGGGGACCCGCCGCCGCTCAGAACGTGCCCGTGGATGTGACTTTGTTTCTTATCATTTTCTATGTCGGACATTCACCATTTGACCGGACGTGTCTGAAAATATGGGGCGGAAGATATATATACTCGCGGCACTGTATGATAATAAGTCATCAGTGTGATATCCGTCGAACGTAGCAGGTTTTATGCCTGAAGGCGACGAGTTCAACAGGCCGTTTGATTATCAAGTGATGAAGGATATCTATATACAATTATTATAACCTGGGTATATTCTACAATGAAATATCGGGATATGTAGGATCTAACCAGCAATACACGACAGCGGGGGCAAATGCAGAAAGACGAACAGAGAATAGGAGATGAAAGCAAGAAAAGTGTGAAGACAAAATGAAAGACGGGCTATGGACAAACGAATGACGAAGAGCCTAGTGCATAGCGCATACGGAGCATAATATCAGGAGGCGACTGCACCTCACAGGTCGCCGACAAAAAACATAATTCATACATCATCCTTCCACCCACCCTCCTCATCCTCCCCCTCGCCATCGCTCATAGCATATAGACTCAAACTCGCCATATCCCCAAGGTGCAGCTCATGCTCGGGGCGCAATTTCAGACTATGTGGGGAGCCAGGAGCTTCTGTCACCGAGAACGTCGCAGTGCTTGGGCTCGGGGCTGCTGTGCCCGTCGAGGCAAAGGAGGTGAATGTTACAGATTGATTTGAGTGGGACTGGTGGGAGGCATAGAAGGAATGCGAACGAGGGATCATGGAATGCGAATACGAATGTTTGTGCCCCAGTTTTTTACCAAGAGAGTAGGGCCCACCAGGAGAAGGAGGAGACTCGCTCACCGCAGCGGATAGCCCCACGTCCTCTAGCATCAACATCGACATTTCAGGTGGTGGAGCGGGGAACAAGCTCGAGGATGTACTTGCACGTCTCTGTTTCTGTACTTGTTTTTTCTGCGGAGAGGGAGGAGGCTGGATGGACAACGAAGATGAAGGTTGGGGCTGTCTCTTCTGGGGGGAAGGAGGCATATACTGCGTAGACCGCAACGGTGAGGGGGAACGCTGGAATGTGAAATCGAAGGATGCCTTAGCCGATACACTATGATGTCTGGCATGCTGTGGGAGATGCGAGCGCGAACGTTCGAGGTGCGGCCTACGAGGGACGGGGGTGAGTGTTCGTGCTTGGTGTGAGGGGGAGACATGGAGAGAAGCAAGGTGGTTGCGGGGAAAACGCTCAAAGTCTTGATCGAAGCGATGTGTTTTGTCGGACGCATCTTCCTCGTCCCGGTCAAGCACGCCAAAGCCAACACTCCTCCCCAAGCCCACGTCTTCTCTATCCGTATCCACCATCGCTTCTAGCACCCTCAATCTTTCCCTCAACACTCCATTCTCCTCCCTCAGCTTCCTGCACGCTTCCTGGGAGTCTGCGAGGGCACTGAGGAGTGCGGAGGTCTCGGCACAGTGTTTTTCTTGAAGTGTTCGGAGGACCCCATTAGGACCTGTACCGTTGACTCCTAAGGGATTAACGAGGCCAGCCCCAGCCCCAATGCCGGATCCAACACCGCTGCTCACGCTCGTAGGGGCTGTACTGCCCGAAAACGCAGTCCTAGGGGCACTGGAAAACGTTGGGCTCCATCCCGTAGCCGTACATGCGCTCCTCGTACCAAACGAAGATGTGCTCGCAGCCTCTGAGAATGCCGCACGCGATGGGGCGTGGTCCCGCAAGGAGGCATAACGATGGATCGTCGAATAGTCGCGATCTCTGTCATAACGGTCACGATCACGATCGAACCGACTCATCACCGAAGTAGCACCTTCTCGGTCGCGGTCGTATCGACTCAGCGCTGAACTCGCGCCTTCTCGCTCCTGCTCGAGTCGATTGACAGACCCTGCCCTCTCTCGTTCAAACCTGGCACCAGATTCCTCTCGTTCCCCGTCAAACAACCCAGCAGCAGCAAATGCTTTGACAGTCCTCGGACCGAGCCATTCCATGGTTTGCGGTCCTGACGTCACCGTGCTGCGCGTAAGCGGGGAGGACACAAGCCTATTTTCTCCGGGAGTGAGGTTCACTCTACTTCCAACTCCAACTCCATTCCTTAGGCCAAGCCCAAACCTCCCCATCCCATGTCGGCGATTGCTCGCGCTTGATCCTGGTCGTTCTGTATGTGTAGACAGGGACGAGGGCTCATCGACACTTAAGCTTCTCTTCCGACTGAAAAAGAGGTGGGGGTGATGGCGGCGGCGGATGTGAGTAGAGTCATGGGGAGTACTTGTGGTCGGGGGAGAACTAGACGTGGGAGTCCCTGGGTTTGCGCTGGCCGCGGTAGCGGAGGGAGAGGAAGTGAGTGTTGTGGTGGACGCGCTGGGACTGACAGATGAAGGCACAGTAAAAGTTGGTACAAGGGTGGTAGTAATACAGGGCACGGAAGGCGTCGCCCCTCTGATAGGCACAACATCAACATTTGATACATGTCCCTGCAGCGTTGGGTGCCGATTCCGCTACAAATCATCGTGTAAGTGCATGAAATACCGCGAACATGAAAAACTTCACCTCGACCGATCCAGCGCGAGCACTTATCCCAGCATCAGAAGAAGAGCGAGGCGTTATGTTGGCCTCTACTGATGGACGAGGCACACCAGTGTGTGAAGACGCCCTCAATCCCACAGTATCCGACGACGATCGCGTCGCCGTATCTGCCGTGACCTGCCCAGCCGATAAGGGAGATGGAGGCTGACGCCTCTGCATTTTCGGGGCTGTTTCTACAGATGTCCCTGGCGTGCATGCAATTATTGAAGGAGAGGCGGAGGTGACGCTCCGCATGAGTCTGGGTAAATGTGACGGCGGACGACGCACTGTTAGAGAGGGACGAGAAAGGGGGAGCAATGAGGTGGTGGGCTTGGGTACTGCTGCTGATCGTATGCTCGGAGATAAAGGCGTTATCGGCTCTCGTGACAGCGGTTCAATGGAAGAGGATCGGAGTGACAAAGGCGTAGTAGATTGTTCAGCTGAAGGCGCGCAGTGTACTCGAGGAGCAGGCGTTTGAGGGATTGAACCTCCCACATATGGCGCACTACTCAAACCGCTTGACACTGATTTGTCCCACAGTTGTTCCGTCGCTGAGTCCCCCTTGTCCTTACTGGACGCTCGATGCGGGCTGAGTAACTCGGCAAGGTCGGGATCGAGCGCGCTGAAGTCAAAGGTTGCATCTGGGTCTGGGACTCGAGGGAGACATGAATTTGTATCCCTGTCGTCGGATCCGTTTCCCCGAGGTGGGAATGGTGGCTGCGCCACGTCTGCGTCTTCGACCACAACAGCACTTAACCAACCGTCGGCATTAGTTGGTGATAGCGCATCGTGGAGCTCGGCGGATAATTTGGAGATATCGAGATCGAGATTGGAGGCGCTGGGGGAGGGATCACGAGAGGTTTGGGAGTATATCGCAGTAGGGGGGAACGAGTCTTTTGGGGAGGCAGAGGGGTCTTCTGGGGTGGCCTGAGATGGCGGTGGGAAGAACGAGTTTGAAAGGCAGGTAACTTTGGAGGGAAAGAAAGGCTGTGGCGAAGTAGGGGGGGAGGGACTCGGCGAGGGGATGTATCTCGAGATGCCTGAGTTGTCTGCTTCGATGATAGTGCTGAGGTCAGCAGGGCAAGGCTGTAGGGGAGCTAGTAATGAGACAGAGTCAATGTTGATATGATGGCACTAGAAAAAATACGAACCGTACAGCTCGTCAACAAGTAAAGTAGGGGGTTGGGAAGGGGTAGAGAGAGAGGGGAGGCGACTGTCAGAGGCAGAGGCAGCGCGGGTAAGATCGTAGCTCTTCTTTTGAACACCAAATTCTTCAGCGTCAATGCGGGAAATAGATATGACAGGGGGATTGTCATGTTCACGTTGACGGTCACGGATAGAAGATATGGAAGCCTTGCGGTCGCTGGAGCGACGTAGAGAGGCAAAATGGAATGGATGTTTCGTTTGTGATGGTGTCTGAGCTGGCGAGGATGGTTTGCTGTGTCCAAATGGGAGAAGATTACGGATAGCGCGGAAGGATGGAATGCTTGATGGGGTGGTTGGTGTTGAGAGTGATGCTGAAGAAGGATGCGCGCTGCTTTCAGATGTACGGCGCATGGTTGGGATTGGATTAATATTGCTCGACATCGATGACCTTGATGTGCGCGGGCTTATCATCGCCAAGCCAGGTGACAGGTCTGCCATATTGTTTCAGTTGCTCACGTTGAACCTTGAACAATTCCAACTTCAAGAACGTTACTAGTAGTTGCTTGATGAACGTTCCGAACGTTGAACTAGCCGTGACGGACTAGGGCATGTACGCTGCGAAGACCGGCTTCGGAATGGACAGCAGGTCAATTTGGTGACGGCGGCGACGACGACGACGACGACGACGACGACAATGAGCCGTTCGTTGTCGCTGGTGGCAAGCGACAAACTCGACGACTTCCAGAAAATTATTACCAATATCGTTCCTTGATAAATCGACCTTGCCTTTTTCGGTTGTATCTTCTTTGATTCCGCGGAACCGGGTTCGCATCCAGTGCTTCCGCTGTTGCCTTCCTACTATGTAAGTGAGGGGTAGCGTTGTACTGAAAGTTGAGTCAACAGATTCTATGTCGTGCTGCCGCTTCCTGAGCACGAATCAAGCTGACCTTGAGTGTACATATGAAAGAGCCAGCACTTCTTTGAAGTTCGAACTAACCACCTCGAATTCGTTGGTCAGCGTCGTGGTCTGCAACAAGGTACCGCAAATACCGTTGGCGCCAACCGATGTATCTCAATGGAAAAATGAACCAAGTAAGTATTCCAGTCACTTTTCTTTGGCTGCTGTGACAAGATATCACTGAGTCAATTCGATGATAGCCATTGCGAATATTTCGTATCGTTTACGACGCCCCCGTCACCTCTCCACGCTGAGCCGGTAGCCACACTCGCACTGTTTTAGGTCTTCCTGTCCCAAAGGTACTTGACTACAGTGCGCAATTGGATCGACAGCCGTGGGAAAATTCACGGAGAAACTTGAAGGCGTTGACTTTAAAGGTCATTGTTAGAATTTGTTTCTACAACTTGTAACCAAGTTGCTAACCTCTGATGAGATAGTCACCGTCGGGAATGCTGTGTCAGTACGGCTTGCCATAGGCTCTATTCGCCGCTTAAAACTGACTTTGTCTGCGTCCTTATTTCCACATTTTAGAAATGGAACCTATTTACCGGACTTTTGCATGCATGGTGCATCCGCAGGACTGCCTTAGTACTAGGCAGCTGCTTCCACTGACCCCAACTCGTCTCTCCTCACCCTTGGAGGCACCGCACCTGCAGGCAGGAAAGCAACGCTCACTACGCCTGGCGGCGTGAAAGCCGAGTGCAGCAACTGTGGTGCTACTCATACTCCGCTGTGGAGGAGGGGTCTGAACGACGAGTTGGATTGTAACGCATGCGGTCTTTACTGCAAATTGGTAGGTTTCTTCTCGTTTGCCTGCGTGTTTTGAAGTTGAACTCATGTGAACACTTTCTTTTTTTTGCAGCATAAACGCCCCCGCCCAAAGTCTATGAGTGGGAGTCATGGTGAGGGACGACGCGGTGGTGCATCATCCCTTGCTTCTGCTTTGTCTGCACTTGCCTCTGCTGCTGCGCTGCCTTCTTCTTCAGCGACGCCTGTTGGGGAGGTGGTCAGTCCTGCTGCGACTACAGTCACTGCAAGTGCAGGTCCGGGTGCAGGTTCAAATGCAAATGCGAGTGCAGCTGCGAATGCAAATGCCAGCGCAAGCACGAGTGCAAGTGCAGGAATGGGCATGGGTGCGGGCAGAGGAGAGCCTGTAGAAATTTTAGGTGAGTGGATTTTCGGGAGGGGGATAGCGCAATATATTCAAGCATAATTCTGACTTCTTTGTATCCGCAGGCAGCGCGCAGTGCTACAACTGTCATACGACTACAACGCCTTTGTGGAGGAAAGACGACGAAGGGAAGACCGTATGCAACGCGTAAGTACCTATTCCTTTACCCCCCTTCGTATTCACACTTATACTTCTACTCACAGATGCTGTCCTTACTATAAACTTGACGGCTCCGCATGCCTAATTAGCATGAAGATCTCCTGCACCCGTCGATGATGCTTCCCCAGGAAGAAGAGAGTTTTTTCGCGACGTATTTGCATCCACCGATGATTCTCCCGCAGGAGGGTGAGCAGGTGTAGCATGGGTACGAGTATGGGCAGGGGAAGCACTATGAGACGGGTGGGATGCAGCAGTATTAGCCTCGGGTTGAGCATTCCGTTCTGCTCGTCTTGAATGTCTTTCCCGTTGTTCACGTCTTCCGCCTCATCACCATCGGCATTAATATCAGCATCGCATCTCCTTTTGACGCTCGACTCTGCACGCATTGACATGATCCTACGCCATCTCATGACATCTTTTCCTCTGTCTCTTCTCATTTGCAAATGTAGAGTGCTCGCATCGCATCGGCTTTCGCATTCATCTTTCTCTTCGAGAATCCTTTGCTCGTGTTTTCTTAGTAACTTACCTGGTTGGCCTCGGTTCTTCTCGTCATCTTCGTCTCCGTTGTCCTCATCAACCTTGTCAAATGGTAGTCTGATTCATTTGCCCAGGCCCCCATTCTGTCACAACAACGGGAAGAACACGACTGCCTGCAATCTGAGGCTGCACAACTTGCCTCGCAACTCTCAACAGCGCTTGACGAACGTGAAGCTAACGCGAATGCATTCCAACAAGCCTCCCAGAAGTTGAAGAAGTCCCACTCAGAGAATGAACTTTTGCAACGACAGCTGGATGACCTTGGTCGTCAAGTACAGACTCTGCTTAAGGATGTCGGGTGACGCGCAGACCCATCTTTGCCCACGGACGCGGAGATGGAAGATATGGAGCCCCTACCAGCTGAAAATATCGATGCCATCATCACGAATAACCTCGTACTCTTCTGCAGCATCGGCGGGTTGCAAGACTAGGACCAGAAGCTACTCAAGATAGTATGTGAACTTGGCGCAAAAATGGAGGCTGAGCAGCAGAAGTACCGTGCAACTGATTAATCCTTTTGATTAGCGACCAGAACACCCGTCATCGGAAGTCTGAAACCGTGAATCATTTTCCTTCGGCGGAAAGGCCTCGGTATCGCAGAAGATGAACTGTTGCTCATTCACGACTACCTGCGCCGTACTGCGATCCGTGTTGTCGCACGATCACTCTTCGTGGCTAACTCAGGCCACGACGATCACTTCGACAGTGTTCACGACCTTGCTCGAACGGCTCGACGTGGAATGTGTTGGAACTGGCAAGTCGTTCGCCCCGATACGCTGTCCCGCTGTCACGCCGTGATATGTTTCACTTTGATATGTTCTGTCTTTGATCTTTATAGTCCACTTAACTATATTCTTCGCCATAGCATCTGCACGTCAAAACGCCAACTGTCTAGCATAACTTATGCTCATAAATTGTCAGAACTCAAGTTGTATAATACATAGTAGCATATCCTTCAGACCCATTTTTTCGCATCATGTATTGGATTCGAACTCACATTGTAATACACGTACTTTTTAGTGGTGGATTTTCGTATGATATCTTAAATCTGGAACAGCGGGACAGACTACAATTTGGTCTTCAGTGCTACATTTCAAGACACCAAGTACTGGGCGAGCTGAATATTATATAAAACATGTCACATTTTTATTGTTTTATGAGTATCTCATTTGATAGAGGGTGTTACTGGGATTGTGTTCCACTCACTTTTATAAAATTTGGTGGTCAGGAACATGAGTTATGTCCATTTTACTGTTTGGAAGGTGATACCACTCCATGACCATATTCAACAGGTATTATGTCATCTACAGGGAGTTATATCACTTGCATATAGGTCTATAAGTATTATAATCAGGTAAATTTGGTATCTCCATCTGATGATGACCACACTCAGACATTTGCCCTAGGTGAGAGGAGGAGGGGGTGAACTATAGCAATGAAAAAAATTCCTGTGATCCTGAAACTTGGTTTATCATCTTCTCTGACCTTTAAAATGGTGGGCACATGATCAGCTTGGTCACTGGTACATCCAGAGTGATCTGGCTCTGGTGTCTTCTGGTGGGTTGAGATGATCTGAGTCTATCACCTCACAAAAAATTCTGGGGATCCTGAAAACTAGCCTGTCATGTTCTCTGGCCTTTAAAATGGTAGGGACATCATCAGTATACTCACCAGTACATAATCTGGGTTTGGTGTCTCTTCATAACAGAAGGTGTTCTCAGTCTATGATCTCACAAAAAATTCCTACTGCTCTGAAACTTGGTGCACCATCATTCTTGACCTTTACAATGGTAGGAACATAATCAGCTTGGTCACTGGTGCATCCAAGATGATTTAGTCCTGGTGCATCCTGATCACTGGAGGTGACCTAAGTCTCAGCCCACAAAAAATTCTAAACATCCTGAAACTTGGTCCACCATCTTTCCTGACCTATAAAATGATATGGACATGATCAGCCTAATCACTAGTGCATCCAAGATGATCTAGTCCTGGTGCCTCCTGATCACTGGAGGACACCTAAGTTTATCACCTCACAAAAATACCTATGATGCTGAAACTTGGTTCATTATCTTCTTTAACCTTTGAAATGGTGAGAACATGGTCAGCTTGGTCACTTATATGGTCATTTCAGAAATACATTTCAAAGTTGTAAATAAATATCTTCTGGTGGGCTGGTACATATGTTAGAGGGTACTTCCAGGATGGATATGAGCCAACAATCAAAGAAAACGGCGGTTGGGTTGTGGAGATATTTATAGGGTCAAAATAGAAATAGGTTTCAAACTTGTGAAAAAATATCTTTTGGCGGGCTGGTACATATCATAGAGGGTATTGATAGGATGGATATGAGCCAACAATTAAGAAAAACGGCGGTTGGATCGTGGAGATATGTCCAAAATACTGATATTTGAGCCAACCTCCCATATCACGATAATGCTGACCTCTGGAAGGTCTGGGACCATTTATAGGGTCAAAATAGAAATAGGTTTCAAACTTGTGAAAAAATATCTTTTGGCGGGCTGGTACATATCATAGAGGGTATTGATAGGATGGATATGAGCCAACAATTAAGAAAAACGGCGTTTGGAATGTGGAGATATGTTCAAAATACCGATATTTGAGCCAACCTCCCATATCACAATAATGCTGACCTCTGGAAGGTCTGGGACCATTCCCAATCGATTCACAGGCCTCAAATACCTTAGGATCAATGTTTGCAGTATCGGTATTGAGGTGAAATACCGGGATAGTGACATTCATGAGGTCAGGAGGAGGAGGAGGACCTTGTATATCTCAGGAACACGATTTTTCCAGGCAATTCTGGCTTTACCATCGTGTTCAGAGGGCTCAATAGCCCCCAGGAAAAATGCTTTTGAAGGACAGGCTAGTCATATGAAGTCTAGAAAAATCGATCTTTGGGTGGGGCAGCATGACTTGGGTGGCCAACTTTGGAACATGATTTTTAGAGCGAAATCTGGCTCGACCAACGTGTTCAGATGGTCAAATAACCTCTAGAATGAGTCCTACCTAAAGCCAAGCAAGCCATATGAAGGCTGAAAAAATCGATCTTTGGGTGGGGGGGGGATGACAGGGGCAGCCAACTTTGGAACATGATTTTTAGAGCGAAATCTGGCACGACCAACGTGTTTGTATGGTCCAATAACCTCTAGAATGAGTCCTACCTATCTATATGTTGTGACTGTCTACAGGGTGCAAACGTCCCCGTCCACCTTTGCCTTATTTGGACATAATTTACATAAGCGTCCACCCGTCCCCCTGGCTTTTTTTCCCATCAGTGTTTTTTCTGCACTTGGACTTCCTCTTTTGGTTAAAGTCACTTATGCAACTTTCCCACTGTCCACCCGTCCCCTTCCCCTTTTGGCAACATACATTATGCAACCATCCCACCGTCCACCCGTCCCCTTCCCCTTTTGGCAACACACATTATGCAACGGTCCCACCGTCCACCCGTCCCCTTCCCCTTTTGGCAACACACATTATGCAACGGTCCCACCGTCCACCCGTCCCCTTCCCCTTTTGGTCAGACGCATTATGCAACCGTCCACCCGTCCCCTTCTTCTTTTGGTCACTGTGCCACATGCCGATCGTACGACCAGACGAGACTGGCTGCTGAGGGCTGCTCTGCTCACTTTAATAAGTGAGGAGCATATATCAAGATCTGTTCTTTCCCCATGATGCTGTATTCTCCTTCGGAAAGACCATCGCGGAAAAAGATAATCCGCATTGGCGCGGCCCTGCTGCATTCAGATCACTCGACTGTGTTTTGCTGGTAGATGTCGTCCCTGAGCGTGATGTGATGACTCCATCTGCTAGCTATACAGATCGCTCGTCTGTGTTTTGCTAGTAGATGTCGTCCCTGAGCATGATGCTAGCCATACAGATGTGCGACTGGAGGTAAATCGCCCCTAATTGACATGCTCAAACCAAGAAATGGCTGTCGCTGGACTAATTCACCTTCAATGTCCTCAATCCGATCTTTCCCCATGATGCTGTATTCTCCTTCGGAAAGACCATCGCGGAAAAAGATAATCCGCATTGGCGCGGCCCTGCTACATTTGCCAAATCCATCAATTGTAGTACCACACCCGACATATGTAGTATGCTCTCCGCCATGTTATGAAAGGCGGTGAGCAGCTTCTTTGATCTTGGGAGGGAGTCAGTTCATTGCTTTGTAGCACCTCTTCACACAGGTAGCAGAATAAATTCATGATATTCAGTAATACAAACAAGTGGAATGATGTAGCACTATTCAGTTAGTTATCTATAGCCCTGTTGAATCTAGTGTTGCGAGGGTCTAGTTCAGAGGGGTCAGTACATGATGGCCGTCGGTGCTAAGAAACCACCCACCAAGAAAATTTTGATCGCGTGATACGAAGTGCGAGTCCTGCAAGATCGTGTAACATCAAATGATTGAATCCGATGAAAATACTTACAGAGAATGTGGCAAGAGGGTGTCGGAAGGTAATCCATGTCGAATGAGCCATTAGCATGGTGCAAGGAAGTTCATAGTTGTGGCCGACGTCATCGACGTTGATCAAATCGAGCGACCCGCACGCCCACAGGTGAGACTAGGGTTGAGTCCCAGTGAAGAGTCGGACTAGTGATATTCCGGCCTGGCTTCAGACGGCTTGGGCTTGCAAAAAATCCAGGCTGGGCCAAAGCCACCAGCGACGGCTGGCTTTGGCTCGGCTCTGGCCTGAGCCGCGGCCCGAGTACTATAAATGTAAAATTATGAGTATGGGTTAAGATATGAACTTGAAGCACTCGCCTGTGCAGTAGGAGGGAAAGTGTGATAGGCCAGTGGGAACTGGCTAGGTAGAACACGAGGCCGTGCGATGGTCATGACCCCGGGAGTGACTGCAGGACGTTGCAACGATCATTGATGATTTCCTGGGGGTAGAATGAGTCACGTCCATCGTCTGGGATTATCTGCAGAAAACTTACGCTGAATTGAAGTCGCTCGATAAAACTGCATGGAATTTCAGTAGCAGTTCCTGTTAAACATTCAGAATATGGCCTCAGGCCTCAGTCAGCAAGGTTTCAAAGTGACTTACTTACTCTCATCACGCCAAGATCGAAGCGTAAGTGCTCTTGCTTCCTCCGTCCCACCGGTCGCCTCGTTTAATCCACCTAGTAGCGCGGTCCTTGAACTGAAGGAGAGTATGCAGGCAAGATCTTGGCCAATCAGAACATCTGGCGTGCTCGCAGTGTATCCCCGAGCCTGCGGAAAGACATAATAATGTCATCCCATCCGACGAGAACAAAACTAAGAAGGGAATTCAATAATGAAGAGGTTTTAGCAATTTAGAAGGACCTCCAAATCCTTACCCGTACGGGTGAACGCAGATACCTACATCCCTGACGAGTTGGTCCCAGAATTGTTGCCTTAGTCCATGCAACCCGTCTCTGTACCACTGAATCGTATCTTTCATCTCGCAATACGTTAGGGCGAGAAACAT